TGATAGCGTACGTGCGTGCCTTTGTGTGTGTGTGTGTGTGTGTGTGTGTGTGTGTGTCCATTTGTGCCTTTTGCCTGCTTGTCAGTTTGCTGGCCCTACAGGAGGTCAGTATGGCGCTGTCCTGCAAAATTTGCTCTTCCAAATGGAGCCGCAAAGTCCATCAAGCCCCCATTAGAGGCTCATTAAAGCCGTGTAGTGAGAGATTTGGCGCCTGTCTTAACGGGCTCCAGAGCGAGCGCGTGCTTCAAGAAAAACACGAAGCGCGAAGCGAAGTCTGACCTGAGATCAGCTTCAGCAGAGACACGACCTCAGAGACGCGAGCTGAGCTCAGCAGAGCAGACCCCAGATCAGCAGACGCGCAGGACACTGTCATAGAATAAGGAATCACTGAGAAGTTCATTCGTGCGTTTCTCTCGGACTTTATACGTACGTTCTGTCTACGTGTTTTAACTCACGGGTCTGAGTTTATGTCGTGCGGAATGCGAGACACTGTAAATAATTCTGAGATAAAGTATCAAATACATTTAAAAATGTATGAGAATGGCCAAACATGTATTTCCCCTTTTGCTTAAAGGGGAATTCCACCTCCGTTTTTTTAAATTTCGGAATAATCCAGTCCTTCAGATGTAAACAGATCCTTTCAGAGCTGTAGAGAAACTTACAGGCTCTGATTTCTGTACAGTGTTGATGATAGGAACCAGGTCTACAACACAAACATAGCCATTTTATTTACTATTCAAAACCACCAGTGAACCTACACAAGTCTTCTGAGTTTTTATGTGTAATGTTGATGGTAAAATGGTCATAAATCTGAAAACAATAAGTTTTCTTTGGTAACTATTTTGCCTTATAACGCCCTGCATCGTAAGGCCATGAATAGATTAAAATAAATGGATTTGTGGATAAATGGACTTCCTCATGTAATAACTTTCTGTGAGGGAGCTTTTAGAGGTGGATGTCTGGTTCTTATTACCACCGCTGTGAACAACTCTGACTCTGTAAGTTTCTCTAGAACGGAGCATTTCACGCCAAATCACTCTGAATGACTGTTAACATCTCAATTATTTATGTAGAATTTTTGAAAATTGGTGGAGTTCCCCTTTACTGTGCTGTAGTATATGGAATACATTTCGGAGTGAAACAATGTATTTGAAAGGTATCAGCGTATTGGAAACCAATTAACTAACTCCGTTTTATATGCCCCCCCTCTCCTGCAATTGCCCCCCGTCGTCCTTCTCACAGATGGTGTCTAAGTTTGCCCCTCTGTGTTGTTGCAATAACCTCGCGGTACCAGATTTCTCACCCTCACGCTGCGGTGGCCTGTTTATACAACTGGGGAAGTCTTCACACCCAGATGTCCCTCAGCGGCCCACTCATTTGGCAGATGATTGGGCGTTTGGGTGTGAAGACCACCAGAGCCACACCCCCTCTCCAAACCACGCCCATCCTCGCGCGCTGCCTCTTTATAAACGCAGTGAGCCGCTCCTCTTCATTCATTCGCTCTCTCTCCTTCTTCGGTTCGACGGCTCTTCGCATCTACCGGAGGAAATAACCGCCTCAAACGGACCGACTGTGAAGGACTCGTTCTTTCTCTCTCGGACTATCACACGAAACGAAAACAACATGAATTCTGCCTGCCTCGTCGCCACCCAGACGCCTTTCGTCAACCCTTCAGCTTTTGTCCAGGCTGAGAGCCAGCCTGGTGGGCAGCAGTCTCCCGTGAGCAGGTGAGCGGGAAGCTTCTCGTCGCTAAAGAGCAAAACCTCATAATTAGCTAAGTTTGAAGTCTGGCAGGACGTTAGCTAAAAAGCTAGCACAATTCTGAGGTAGAACAATGTTCAAGAGCAAGACAACCTGCTGTTGTTTTGGGGTAGCGTTAACTGTGGGGAGTTCGTGTTTTATGTTCATACATCATCTGGAAATTCATGTAGTCCACACTGGACGTTCACCTTAGGCTACAGTCTTCAGTTTGAGCCTCCTTCTTCACTGACACTGACCGTTTCGCTCTTGCCTTCTTCCAGCCGTGCTGTCCTGTGGAGACCCTGGCTCGTCACCAGCCAAGATGGGTGCAAGAGAAACAAGCTCGCATGTGTAAGTTTTATCCTGTCATGCTAAAAGTGTTTGTCATTTTTAATACTAAGTGCAGTTTTGTTTATGCAGTACCTCTGAATAGTTATCACTGACCTACATGAAAGCCTTCATTCATATGGTAATTTAAGAAGAATGAATATTTTCACTAAGCCTTATCAGTGAAATCAAATGAGTAGGGCTTGTGTAGTGCATTTATTATCTACAGTGTTTTCATAAGCAACCTGAGTCCTTAGAGCCAGCAGGGAGCTTGAAGGAGACAGACAGGCATGTGGAGCGCATTAGCAACAGTATGCTAGAGCAGGAGGTGCGACTTTCAGGCTGTTTTGTTGACACCGAGCCACTCAGCGCAAAGGCAGAGGGAGCAACTGTAACACTGAGACACTCTGCCATATGGCACCACTGTCTGAGGCAAAGCAAGTTTGGCACCCAGTGCGGAGGTGTAGGGAGAATAGCTTCCAGAGAGGTAGAGCATGCCTGCCAAGATTGAAGTAGACACCTCTGGCTCTGGGGAGAGTGTTTGGGCCAGTTTCCCACCCTTAGCCTGACACCCACCAAGTCACAGCTCTTGCATCCTGCCCAAGGCGCTATACGGCCACGGAGCTGGCGCTGATGTCACCCCATAAATGCTAGGCAGGAAGCTGTGTTGGATGCTTTTGCTCGTTTTGTGTTTTGCAAGTGTGGCCTTACACCTCTTTTCTCTCTTTACAGCCTTACACCAGACCAACAGTGCCGGGTAACACCACAGCAGATGGCAAAACTCAGTCTTTCCAGCACCCTGTCAGGTGAGCGCTCTTTTGTTTTGGTTGGGTTTTGGTCTGTAAAGCTGTGACCTATAGTTAGATATCCTGCTGAAATAAGGCGGCTTTTATTTCACGACATTAACTCCCAATTTGTGAATTAGAACTTGTGCTTGGGGCCAAAGTGAAAAAAGTAAAGCCTATTTCCAACCCGAAGGGAATGCCATTTTAAATATTTGTTCTCTTTTTATCACAGACTCTTCTGGCCAAAGTCCAAGTCATATGACTACCTCTACAGCGATGGCGAAGCTCTGCTGAGAAATTTCCCAGTCCAGGCAACCATCAGCTTCTACGATGAGTCAGACAGCGAGGATGAGGAAGAGGAGCAGGACGACTGGGAGGAGGAGGAAGACAGTGACGAAAAAGAGTGCCTCAAACCCCAGAGCTATTTCTCCACCTACAACTGAATTCACACACGCTATGATGGCAGCTTCTGGAGAACTATAGTACGAACATTCACAAGAACTATCACATTCTCAGATGGGACTGTATCCAGTGTCTTCACAAAACAAATATTTTGATAGCGCATGCCCACCACAGCCTGCATGGGTGTCAGTTTTTTTTTCCAAATTCCATTCATGTAATGCCAGCTTCCAAAAAAAGAAACGAGAAAAAAGTTCAGAACGGAAAGTCTTCCTAATTGTAAATTCCTCTGGGAATTGAATAATGGCAAACAATCCCACATTGGGATGAATGTGTTGTTTCCAAGCCATCTCAGGGTCTCTGTTTTGTTTTGTACACGAGATTCCTTTATCTGTATTTTATTCCCCTGTCCCTAATTTATGTTGTACATATCTTAATATATTTATGTCTTATTTTTGTACTTTTGTGCATTTGACACAGAATAAACTATATGTAAAAGTAATGAAAGTGAGTGTCTTTTTCTCTCTTTTTTTTCTTATTTTTTAAGTTAAGCGTTCGGGGTTAATGAACAACACCTCTCTTTAAACTCTGGTGATTCTCTCTTTGATGTCAGCCGACTCTATCTGCCTGCCCAGAGAGGGCCTGTTCCATGTCTGCCTGGTTTTAAGTATTGCAGATCTGATAGACGAGACTGGGTACGCCCTGTGGAGAATGTCAGAGGTTAAAGATTTAGCTCTCTCCAAGTGACACAGGTCATAGGAAGTCTGCTGTTGTTAGTTAAACAGCTGTAGATTATGCACAAATGAAAAAAAAGTACAAAGAAACCGAAAAGGTGGCTTTTTTAAGTGAAATATTTTAACCGTATTGTATATGTGTGCTCTAACATACACATACATATTAAATGTATACATACAGTATATGCAATACATTCAGTCATGTGCAAAAATCTGAGACCACTCTTTCATTGATTTAATTTCCAGTCAAAATGGCCAGTACGTGTTTGTCAGCATACAGGAAAAAAACAGAAAACATAATTAACAGAAAATTGCCTCATCAACTAAACATAATACCATTTTTCCAGTATTTTGTGTGTCCACCCTTTGCTTTTATTATAACGTCCATTTTATTCAGCAGACCTGCTTTCAGTTTTTCAAAGAAATCTGCAGGGATATTTTTCCACACCTCCAAAGTTCAGTCTTAGAAGTCAGTTGCATTTTCTTCTTTTCACCAGCCAAGTAACCCCAACGGCTGTTAAGCGTCCCATTTTCTATATATCTTAACAGTTTTTTTTACTCCAGTTTTGGATTCTTTTGACTTTCCCCATCTTTATGCAATTGGCCTTAATGGCCGTTTTGAGTGTAAGTTTAATAAATGAAGGGTGGTCTCTGATTTTCGCACAGTGCTGTATTTACTGTATGTGCTATATATTCAGGCATCTGTTCTCGTAGCATTGCTGTTCCATTTAGTGCGATCTGCTTAGACTCCCACAACAGAATTATTCCCACTACAGGTGACACACAAAACTGTCACAGATCAGTTCAACACTGACCTAATAAATCCAATGAAGGGGTTCAACGAGAAGAGCGGAAGTAGGGAAATGTAGTCTTTTAACGTAAGGTGTGGCATGGGAAGAGACCCGCCGATATTTTACACTCTACGAAATAAAAACAGCAGTTATCGCTGTCCAGTAGATCAGGACAGCTAACAAAACAGCTCAGACGCTAAAGAAGACCTGCGCTACTGTTTCCTGAAAAGACGTAAAAGCGTCTCACGCTTGTCTACGTGCGGACTACAATACCCAACATATATATTTATTTTTCATTCCAGAGGCATGACTTTGCGCGTCCAAAATAATCAGAAGCGATGTGATTGGCTGAGCAGGGGAAGCCCCCGGCTCCTATTGGTCAGTCGGCGTGTCAGTCAGACGCTCTCTGTGACTCATGTGGATGCTCCCTCGGTGGAAACAGGGACGAAATGGATCAGCAGTCGTAACGGCGCGGAAGGTAGGATAGCTTTATTTTTTATGTGCATCCGTAGAAGTTAGAAATGTGGGCCGCACGCGTGTCATTCTTTCTGTTTTCCATCGATTACTATAAAGGAAAACAAATCACAGAATCAAAGCCCGAGCAGTCTGTATGAATGTATAATGTATAGCGCTCAGCCTTGAAGGAGTTAGTTCTGAGTCCGCCGCTTTAGGCTGATGCGTGTCTTGATTAATATTTGATTAGCCTTTATGGCAGTAGGATGGCTTTCCAGCCGTGTGAGATGTGCCAGTTGCTCCTCGTGAGCCTTTGACACACTTACGACAAATATGAACAATAGGCTTTGACCGATTGACGATGTAGACACGGTTAAAGTGGTGAAATTGCGACCCGTTCTCGCCTTGTTCTCATCGAGCGCAGCCTTTTAGGTTCTGTAGGTGAGAGATTACAAAGCAGACACGTTCTCCTGTCCGTCTTCATTGCAAAAGCAGCAGCTGCAACTGTGAACCCGGTGCTGTTGTACTTCTAGCGCTGATACGGCGGAGTGATATAAATTTAGCTCTTGAACGCTAATGGCACATCTACCCGCTCCGTTTCCATGGAAACCTCCTCCCCCGCCCTCCTCCTCATGCATATTCATATGAGAGAGGTACAGACATCTATAAAAGGCGGACATCCTCTTACAGATAAGTCTAGAAATCAAAACTTTAGTATCTTCTGAAGAGGCTTATAAGACATTTTGTTGTGGTGTTGTCTGCTGCCCGCTCTTATTACAGAGCTGGCTATCTTGTTTGACCCTGTGTTTGTGTGTAGCCTGTGTAGTCCCATCTTTCAAGGACATGTTTCTTCAAGAGTGTGTTTTTTCCCCACCGTGTTGTTGAAGAGCAGATGTGTGAGACGTTTTTAGGCTTGAAATGACCTAGTATTTGTTTATCTAAGCGAAGAACAGATAGAAAAGAAAGATAAAGTAGGAATCTGCCACCACTTAACTCTTTCACTGTCTTTTTTTCTCCAGCACAGACCAACCGTTCATTGAGTTTTCCAGTGGTAGCATGGCAGCAGGTGAGCACTTCCATGCAAAGCATCTCTTCATTTTACAGTCCATTCACTAGTCAGATTTTAAAAGTAGGTTATGTGTTTATGGCAAGTTGGCTTTAAGAAAGATCTCTTACAACAGTACAGTGTTTTAAAGGAGTCTCATAGGGTTTGGCAAAGAGGCTGTTTACACCTTCAATCAACACACTTTTTCAATGGTTGGATCTTAGTGAAAAGCGTTAATGGAACCTCGTCAAAGTATATCCAGATACAATCTAGATATGAAACACATGTAAATTCAAGGTCTATGCAGCCTTGTAGTTGCGCGTCAAGGCCGTCAGGGTGGCTTTGGCATGCGTCTCCTGTGTCTCACTTATTCAAGTATATAAAAAATAGCCCATATAAATATTTCTATGTGTGATAGATATTTGTGAGGAAGGGGAATGATGCAAGTACAGGCTAGGATGGGAAATGGGAAGATCCTTTTTTTCTTCCAAAGTGATTACCAAGTATATGGCACATTACAGCTCCTGTACTTTTTAAGGGTCCCAAACTAAAGTAAAGGCACATAAAGTGTCATCATTTTGTGGAACACTGCAGTGCTGTTGGAGTTTTTAAACACCTCACTGTCACTGTTGGACTGAGAATAGTCCATCAACCAAAAATATCCAGCCAGTAGTGTCCTGGGGGCAGTGTCATGTGACCACTGATGCAGGACTAAAGGACACAAACTGTGCAGCAATAGATGAGCTACAGTCTCTGGCTTAACATCTACAAGGTGGACTGACAAGGTAGGAGAGGTCGCCAACTATCTGCAGAGTCAATCGCTACAAACTACATGTGGCCTTCAGATTAGCTCAAGAACAGCGTAGAGAGCTTCATGGAATGGGTTTCCATGGCCGAGCAGCTGCCTCCAAGCAAGTCAAATGCAGTGGTGTAAAGCGCCGCCACTGGACTCTAGAGCAGTGGAGACGTGTTCTCTGGAGTGATGAATCACGTTTCTCCGTCTGGCAATCCGATGGACGAGTCTGGGTTTGGCGGTTGCCAGGAGAACGGTACTTGTCTGACTGCATTGTGCCAAGTGTAAAGTTTGGTGGAGGGGGGATTATGGTGTGGGGTTGTTTTTCAGGAGTTGGGCTCGGCCCATTAGTTCCAGTGAAAGGAACTCTATATGCTTCAGCAGACCAAGAGATTTTCGACGATTGCATGCTCCCAACTTTGTGGGAACAGTTTGGGGATGGCCCCTTCCTGTTCCAACATGACTGTGCACCAGTACACAAAGCAAGGTCCATAAAGACATGGATGAGCGAGTTTGGTGTGGAAGAACTTGACTGGCCTCAATCCGATAGAACACGTTTGGGATGAATTAGAGCGGAGACTGCGAGCCAGGCCTTCTTGTCCAACATCAGTGTCTGATCTCACAAATGCACTTCTGGAAGAATGGTCACAAATTCCCATAAACACACTCCTAAACTTTGTGGAAAGCGTTCCCAGAAGAGTTGAAGCTGTTATAGCTGCAAAGGGTGGGCCAACATCATAATAAACCCTATGGATTAAAAATGGGATGTCAAATTCATATGCGTGTAAAGGCAGACGAGCGAATACTTTTGGCAATAAGGGGATCTATATAATAATAGTAATAAATGTAATAAGTAGGCTGGTTACAGTTACTCCAGCTAACTGTGATTATTTTCCACACTTGTTAGCCTTCACAATCATATGTTTACTTCAACAGAAAGTGATTTGTGCACATTTTCATCACTAGGTTGAGGCAGAGATGTCATTGGTCAAAAACAGCAACAGTTTATGCTATAACAGCTTTAGAGCTTTGCGGTGACTAATGTTTCTTTATTTGAGCTTGAACTATGTCTGTCATTAGTTGGGAGCAAGAGGCAAGATAGCTAATTAGCCAATCACTTTAAAAAACACTTTAAGCTTGTACATAATAGCTGTGTACAATGTTGAACAGTTGAATTGTTAATGGCAATTATTTATATGGCAATTAATTGTCAACTAAAATTTCATGATTGTGACAGGCCTAGTGATAAGGATTTTCTAACATAACTCTTATTTAACCCTAACCACGACCTTAGTAACAAAAAGGAATCCTACTTTACAAAGCAGGATCATTTTGTTGGTTCTGTTTTTCTCTGACATCTTGGTCCAGAAAACATCCGAAAACAAACACACATACAGGCAGAGGCAATGACACAGCGCTGTCTCAAGAGCTCTGACAAACTCGGAGCGATTCCATCTGCTTGTCTCCTGTTGTGACATCACCTTTGCCCTCGGCACAGATTTCTCTCTCTCTCTCTCTCTTTCTCTTGCTGTGTCTATTTTTTTGTTTCTCTCATTCTCTTAGTGTTTTTTCTCTCTTTCACTTTACACAGCATTCCTAGATGATAAGGATGCAAACTCTCTCCTCAAGCGTTTTCCACGGGCCAATGGCTTCCTGGAGGAGTTTCGGCAGGGCAACATCGAGAGGGAGTGTGTGGAAGAGAGCTGCAGTTTTGAGGAGGCCAATGAGGTGTTTGAGAACAAGGAAAAAACAGTAAGTGACACCATTTTTTAGATGCAGTGTGAATCTACAGGCTTTCCTGTATTTCCTTATGTAAACGATTAAATTAAGTAAATTCAGTAAGTAAATTCAGTATAACAGTACCGAACATTTTGAGCCAGTTACATTAAAACATTTGCCACTCATTAGTGTGCTATGCTTATCATTAATGGCTTACTCAAATTAACCAAGCAGAAATTAACCAGTTCAGTGCAGTAGTCACTGAATAGTAAGCCTCAAGATTATTAATAACTGAATAACAAACCTAATAACAGCACATTCAGACATAATACGTGCTCTCTTCTCAACTGTAGATGGAGTTTTGGAAGACGCGCAGTGTCTACACGGTGAACAGCAATGCCGAATCGCGCTCGGAGCGGGCGGACACTGTGTACATGGTGGTGCCGCTGCTCGGTGTGGCCCTCCTCATCATCATCGCGCTCTTCCTCATCTGGCGCTGCCAGCTGCAGAAGGCCACGCGCCGGCGCCCGGCCTATACACAGAACCGCTACCTGGCCAACCGCAATGCCCGCAGCCTTCCCAGAATCCTCGTGCACCGCGATGGTCCCTCCCACACAGACAGCTCCCATGATAGGCCCAGTGTGGTGGTCAGTGGCGGAGGCAGCGGAGAAAGAGGGGGTGGAGCCACAGCCACCCAGGACACCTCCAATCATGCTAGTCAAGCTCCAAACGGCCGTGGGCTCTACGTCCAGGATTCGTCTGTGTCTGTGGCTTCACGTCTGTCTGGGGCCACTCCTCCTCCTTCCTACGAGGAAGTGACAGGCCACTTGGAGAGCAGCAGCGATGAGACCACGGCTCCTTACAGTGACCCACCGCCCAAATATGAGGAGATAGTTAAAGAAAAGTGAGCATAGAAGAGACTCAAAACTGCCAGTCACGGTCAGTTTGGGGAAGCACTTGATCCTGAGCGCTCGTTTCAATGCGTATCTTGCTCAGACTAGCTAGCCAGCTGCTAGCTGCGTTTTTAACCTCTTGAGTTGCCCCTGGGCTGCTGCCCAAAGTTGTTAATGGATGTGTGGGCTGCACTACTACCAAATGTGGTCATCTTCGTGAAGTTGTATCCCTGAAGTCAAATCTTCTGAAGACCAGGCCTGCTTTGTGGACGGGACTCCTCACTGTTCTTTCTCACAATCTTCCAGAACCTTATCTGCCATCTCCACACTGCTTCACCCTTGCACCATACCCATTGCTTTTGGCTTCAGTCCTCAGAAAGGGATAACTGTAGAGGGAAGTGAGGGAATATTCTGTGAACTGCAGAAACAACCTGGTGGCTGGTCACCTGAATCTTTTTGAAAACATGTGGAACAGTGTAAAGATAATGTCTAAAGAGGTTTCAGATCACTGTGTGCCATCTCATTGACTAGGCTTGGTCCACTGGGGAAGTGTTATGAACTCCTCTAACACCAATATAGTCCCTCAGACCACATATCCTTAAAATTAGTACAACACCGTTATATCAGAGTGAGCAGAAGGAAAGTAATAGAGCGACTCCAAATGACCTTAAAGTAATATGCAAATAATAAGGCACACAGACGATCCAGCAATGGCGTATGCAAAATGCTATCAAATGAAAAATATTGATGGCTAGAAACACATGCAAGCAGAAAGGACTGGCAGAGCGTGAGCGCTTTGCTGCACATTTTTATTCAGCACACATTAGTCCTCTCTCCGCCTGAATACGAAATTCGACACAGGCCTTAATCACATGTAACGATCAATAGTCACTCAGTCTGTCTCTCTATTCAGCAGTATTGCTGCCAGCAATTTCACCTATCTTCCAAGATTCTTTCCTTCCCTTTCCGAGACACTACACAAAAACTCATAACCCACTGAGAGCACAATTACTGGGCAATGTAACATTCCAGACCCCGAATGACCCCCCCGTTCTCCTCCTCTCTTTTTTGTTTCCCCTCCGCTCTCTGACTGTTTACAGCTTTTGTTACTCTTTTTTACAATGGCATAAAAAAACAAACTGTGTGAATTTGTATAAAGCATTATGTGGCTTTTCAACCTCACCGGGTGCTATACTGTAGTATATAATGCTGCTTGTCCTCACGTTGTGTCGTTGCTCACACACTGTCTGCGACTTGGCTCTAACGAGTCGGCCAAACTGCCCATCCGTTATTATGCGCCTGAACAGTGTTTTCCAGCTCAGGTTTAAGCCAATGAACTGCCGCCTTTTACAGTAAATATGTAAATAATCTCTCACTGCCAGCCAATGGGGGAAATGTGGGGTTGTGGGGTGAAGCATTAAATGCTGTGCTGAAAATCAGCACTGCAGTAGAGCCACGTGTACGAAGGTGTTCCTCAGCGTTTAGGAGTAGCAGAAGATACACACTAAAGCTAGCACAGTCCTCTACCATGCGAATATAAGTATTACAGTGGATTCAGAGGCAGTGCTGCAGAGCTAACATCAAGATGTTGTAACTAGCAGAAGATACGCGCCAAAGCTAATATAGCCTGAAAATGTTTGTGCGGAACACGCTACCACGTGAATAAAAGTATTGTAACGGATCCAGCGGCAAAGCTGACGTCAAGATGATGTAGCATTTCATGCTAATCCCTGTAGGTCCATCCCAGTGACTCAAATGGTGGCTTAAACCTTTAGCTTGATGGTTAGCTTTGCTTGGAGCACTTGGGCTGGACTCCAAATCCAAAGATTCTATTTATAATACCCTTGAAAAAGTTTAATAAGAAGGATCTGTAAACTAGCTGAAAGTGGCAACAAGCGCAAGAGGATGAAACTGGCTGGATACACAAGGCTTGACTTTGCTTAGCCTGTGAAGGTTGAGCAGTAGCATAAACGACTTTGCCACCTCTCGCTTGTCTTTAGGCACGAAGTAAGGAACAGTTCTGCTGCTGTAAGGACACTGCCGCTTGGATTGAGCCTCCGATCTTGTCACCTGAGCCTCTGAAATGATTGATGAAGAATGGCCGTGGCTGAACAAACTTTACACTGACAAAGCACCAAGCCCTAGAGGCCATGTTGACTGCCTCGATGGTTGAAATTTGCTGATCTAAGATCAATTTGTGGCTTCTTTGTTGGAGGATTGATGAGTGAATGGATGCAGACAACTGACCTTGGAACTGACGTTAATGGCAACACGGGGTGTGGATAAGTTGGAAGATTATTAAGGCTGAAGGAAGAGATGTAGGGTTGTGAATAAAGTGCTACACATAGGCTTCTAATGTAACACCATTGTGCGTGTTGTCTGTAACCGGCTTGGTGTTTGTTGGATGAGAATGGTTGTGCGAGTGAATGTGCTAGTGCGTGTGTTTCTTTATTGCCACTTACCTACCTACCTAGAATGTGCCACCAGAGCCACACGTTTCCTTTCACACGTTAAACATGTTGTTTGTCATGGATCAAATGGCAGAACTTGCGTGCACCTTTGTTCTCCTGCTCAGCCTAAATTGCATGATGGATATTTTTTGTTTTCATTTATATTAATGTCTTATTTTTCAAGACTTCAAATTATGTCTACATTTTTACTGAAGCTCTATATATCTTGTATCTTAATGTGCTGGTTACACCTATTTAAACACTTTTTTAATCAGTGTAAGCGCTGTTGAAATTGTAATACGTATTTATGTAATATGAAAAAGAAATTGTACAATTGTGTATGCGTGAACTTGTATAAAATATATCACCCGTCATATTTTGTCATCCATTCCACATAGACGAACTATTTTTGCATATCTGTGTATTAAGACAACTTATAATTAAGGATATAGCGCTCACCAGCCGATGCATGAATATTCTTTTCTTTATCTTTTGAATAGCTTTAGCTTACTTGCATAAGTTAAACCTAATCATTTCTGTGCTAACACAGACTGCTTCACATACAGAGGGCTTATGATAGCATTAGCTGGTCAATGAAGAAGCTCATCCAAAGAAAACGGAGACGATCACCATAATCGCCATAAGGCGTTGTTTTGCTTTTACCAATTTTGGTGACTTGAAAAACAGAAAATTGTTGGAGTCTTCCCTACATCTCTCTCTCTTTCTCTCTTCCTCTCTTTCTCTGTTGCTCAAGTTTACCTCTTTGTAGAGCTTCCAGTCAGACTGGCTTAAAAACAGATATCATAACCCAACTTGTTACAAATATGACATTATGCTTGTATAACATATCAGTGTGGTTGCAAATGCTTTAGAGCACATGTAAGCTAGCAGATGTGTTAGCAGACTTGAAAATGCAGAATAATTGCTACAAATAATTTCTACATCCTAACGTGTAATTTTTTCCTTCTCTCTCTTTGTTTTATTTACGTGTCATTCCTCAGTGGACTGTGGTCAGGGAGGTAGCATCTTGCGTAGACCCTTAGGTCTGGAATCTAAAATGTGAAAATAGTTGGGATTTAGTAAAGAATATTATACAATGTATGTTTATGCCATTATTTGCCTCCTACCACATCACTCTTGATTAATTCTAAGGCCAAGTCATTAAACTCTATATGCACAAAGAGCCAGGGTTCCTGCTGATATTCTTGTTTTGGTTGGTGAATATATACCTGCGTTTGCCCCGTCACTTCGTTTGCCCCTCCCCTTTTCACTCTGTCATAACAATCTGTTTCTAAGTGCCAAAAGTTCCTGTTCGTGAAAGCACTGTATTCTTCGCGAATATTAAATGAGTGAACTACTCAGTTGTCTGACTGTTTATTGCACCAGTTAACCCAAACATGTCCAGCACGATAAGAAACCATGCCACAGAATTTGTTGAACTTGGTCAGAATGATGAAATTAGTAATAGTACTAACCAGGGTTCTAATAATATCCCCATGCAGACATCTGATCTATGGCAATGTATTGATTTCAAATTCATGACATGAATGATATATCCAACTTAAGTAAGTCACATGTGGACATGACATATTTGCCAATTTATTTGAAATTGGTAATTTTCAAATATGGGACATATATTTCAGCCATTTATCAGCATATACAAACATGTGTAAGACATAGTTAAGAGTATATGACAGAACCCATTATTCATCATATGGATGGCATATATTATTCATATATGCTTGCTTCACGTTACATAACGTGCAGTTTTTATGTGTCTTCTTTGTTCTAATAAAGTCAAAATGGGCATAATAGCTACGTAACTGAACTCTAAGATAAGCAATTAAATCATTAAAACACGAAAACCATGAAATAAATAAAAATATTGTTCCCTGACACATTTAAGTAACTTCATATTTACAGCAAACAGTAGTTTAAAGTTAAATATTTTCTTCAGATTTATAATCGGTAAAGCTCACAGAATCTATGGACCAAAAGAAAGTTAACATTTCAGATTGGGACATTAGTCGATTAGTTTTATTGTCAAAAAGAACAGTTTACAAAGGTCAGACATAGTTTGCAGTATTACCATACTGTCAGAATGATTACATACAGACGTCACAAAAACAGAGAGGGGGAAATAAATAAATAAATAAATAAATAAATAAACAAACAAATAAGGTAAATGTTGTAAGATGCTAGCAAAAGGGCACTTTGGGATTTTTGGATTATATATATATATATATATATATATATATATATATATATATATATATATATATATATAATAAAAAATAATAAGATTTATTACACATAAACGGACATATTTTCACTCTGTAGGTTTTCGCTTTATTTTATCCTCACTTCTGATTGGTTGTTGGACTCGTGAACCCGCCTATCACGTGACACGGTTCTCTGCGTCGTCGACCGGCTGTGCTCTGGAAGGAGGTTTGTTGAATGTTGAGCTATTTTGGAGAAGTTTAGCGGGCCGTTTCTGTCTGTGTGTGTTTGTGTGATAGATGAGTAGATTTTAGTACTCGTGCGCTGCTGTCAGGAAGTTTGTAATAACCACCCCTCTAAAGTAAGACTTCACTGATAGCGCTGAGAGTTTGGTGGTGCTAGTTTGTTTTGTAAAGTGTCAGTCTGCCCTTCCCTCCTCCGAGCTGTGTGATTTAGAAGGCGAGTTAGGTTAAATACCTTAACTTTCTCACGCTGATTAACTCAGCGGTAGTTCTTCTGTACCGCCTTAATAATCTGATATCACAGGTAGTTGAACCACCTGGTTTACACTGCTGGGCCCGCCGGTGCACATAGTTGGTGTCCGCTCTCAGCGGTGACCCTCTAATTTACAGCTCTGTCAGGAACAAGGACCTGAATCCTTTAATAACGACTTCTTTGCTCGGACCTCGTAACGGACAGAAGCGTGTAACGTCATTTCTGAAGGCTAACGTTAGCTAGCTGGATTGTTGTGAACACAGCTCCAGCTCCAGCTTCGAGAAGTTTTGTCAGCTCACTGACTGACTGTTTAGCTATCCTGGTCCAGCAGCGCAGGCCGGACACTTGTGTGAGCTGTCTTCTGCTTTAGAAACCTCACTGCGGAACTTGTGTTACCCTTTGCTGTTAATCTTTTACATTAGCGTTAGGCTGGCTGACCAGTCACGACCTTCTGACCGCCTAACAGCATTTGTCGTAGTCGCTCTGACATACGGTGGTGTGTCATCTACTCGGCTTAAACGGCTCTAATCCGCAGTTCACGTAAACTAACTGAAAGTTACAGCCTAATCCTTTGGTTTAAAGGGGAAGTCCACCGTTTAAAAACATAATTCTGCATATTAAATCGTTAAATCGTTAAAAGTCATTCAGAGTGGTTTAATGTGTTTAATTCGCCATTCTAGAGCTACCGTAGAAATCTGCTGAGTCAGAATTATTCACAACAGATGTAGTAGATGATAGGAACCAGACGTCCGAAGAATTGATGATGGTAAAAACTAAGTTTTCTTTGGGGACTATTTTGCCTTAGAACATTATTCATGTATCCCTCCACCATGAATGGATTAAAATAAATTGGCAAAAATAGGTTTTAGACCAAAACGTTCTCACAAAACGTAAAACAATGTATTCATTAACCATTTTGTGACCATTGTAACCATTTTGTGTAATAACTTTTTTTGTGGGACCTTTGAGGGATATTAAACTCCTCAGACTTTCCTACCACCACCTCTCGGAACAGCTCTGACTCAGCAAGTTTCTCTAGATCAAAGCATTTCACACCAAACCACTCTGTATGATTCTGTTGATATGTCAATCATTTGCAGAAAATCATTTGCAGAAAATTTGAAAAATCTATGGAGTTCCCCTTTAAGACCTCTTAAAGCTACCTTGCAGACAGCTATTACACAAGATGGGTAAAAAGCCTTCGTTTTGGCATTGTTTTATGCCTCAAAATGTGTTTTTAAATACAATAATGTTGGAGGGGCATAGAGGGTGCTGTAAGGTAAAATAATCCCCCCTAGAAAACCCCTTTTTTACCACTACATTACCTTTATGAACATTTTATACTAAAACTCAGACGACTTGTAGGTCCACAGTTCAATTAGGATAACAAATATAGTGGCTATGTTTGTGTTGTAGATATTGCCACCATTGGTTCTTATTACCACAGTTGTAAATAAATGGTGTATCTACCACTATTTCACACTAGCCCACCCTGAATCTCTTTGTTTACATCTCTTTATTTATATTGTTTACACAATTGAATAATGCAGAATTATAAATGTAAAATATTAAGTGCAATCCTCCTTTAAAACAAGCGTACTGCAGTTTTCTGGGAGTCGCAGCTTTCACTGAGCTTTTGGATTCTTGTTAAGTGTAAATCTACCAGCAGAGGGCCAGAGTATTTAATAACCAAGCAACATGCTTACTTTGTATATTCTGAGAATCTCTGTTTAATTCCAGCTTTTCCACCATAATTTCATTTCAGCGTCAGATGAGCTCTCCTTTTGAGTCCTGATTCAGTGTTTCTTCCTCTTGCTCTTGGTGATTTTTTTCTTGGCAGTGTCACTTTCAAATAGAATTGAATTGCTGCTTCTCAGGAAAGATCATGGCTGCTCCAGTGTATCTGGGCGAGGGTTCGCAGGTTCGTGGTGGCGATCCATACTACACAGAGATCATCAGCAAGAGGATGCGAGTTCCAGATCGGCTGAGGGTCGGCCATGGAAGCCTGGCTGAGGAACAGAGGCCTGAGGATCTACTTCCTGTCTATAGCATGCATGTACCAGACAGACTGGCCTTAACAGGTGAGAAGAGCACACATGGGTGTTACAAGCTTGCTACCTTTAAAATGTGTTAAGCAGTTTTGTTAAAATGCTTGGTATTTTATTTTCAATGTTGGCAGACACTCCTGACCTCAGTCCACGGCCGCTCTTCTCCAAGCAGAGTGCCTCGTCAATGTGGGATCTGCAGCGTGGAACGTGGGATAAGGAGGCACACACGCGAGAGCCCGTTCAGGTAATCTGATTTAATAAATGTTAGCAAATCTCCGTTTAGCTTTGCTTTGTCTTAAATCAGATCTCTAGAGGCAATGACACAATAGATCCTACTAAGATAAAGATTTCTTTGTTTTTGGTTTGTGATTTAGTGACAGGAATGCCTGGAGACAAAGAGTTGGTGTTTTGAATCTGATAAGCATTGTGTGTAATGCTGACAGTATTTGCTTGCTGTTGTTTATCTACTCATTATCCATTGTGTTTCAGGTTTAAGGTGACAGTGTCATTGTTCTGACCAGATGTCAGACCAATAGGATATGCACTGTATTACTGTACTGTAAAAGTTAAGAGACTGTAACTTGTTTTAACAGTCTGCTGTATTACCTACAGAGTCCACTACGCAGATCGTATAGTGACCAGACGTTTGGTAGAACCCCACCTGGAACCCCCCCACACTCCAAACAAGCACTACATTCTCCTTCTATGTGAGTCAGCCTGTTGGGGGAACCCCTTACATCACTGGAGGTGAAATTATTGGGTCTTTGATTTGACAGATTAGTAGAGAGATGCTACTCACTGAAGTGCAGAGTTCAATTCACGAGTGGCATAGGGTTCACAGTTAGCAGGCCTTGCAAATTGTAAAGCTACCAGCAGAGGGCGAGACTCAAACAGGGTTATTATAGTTTTGAAATTTTCATTAGTTTATATTTTTTTATTTCATTGTTTATTTTGGTTTTCATTTTCAATATCGTTTCAGTCAGTTTTAAAAGTGTATTGATAGGTTTAGTTTTTATTTCATAAGACTGACTGCTTCCTTCCTGAAGGAGCCAGGTTGTGAACTTTAATCAGTCGTCGCCAAGTCCTGGGTATATACCGCTTGACTTGCACTACAAAGGTGTCCTACATGCATTGAAAATAGGAAAGCTAAGTCAAAACTATAATGTCCATTAAAACAATCTAAAAATACTATTGAATAGAAAAAAAATGCTTTTGTATTTTCAATGGATGTAGGACAGCTTTGTAGTGCTAGTATTCGCCTTCATATTTGTTTTCATTAACAATAATAACCCTGGACTCAGCTGGGTTCCTGCATTATAGTATGCAGTATATGGACATTGTATTTAATGTTGGGCTGGGTGTCGGTTTATGGCACAAACCGTGCTACAGAGTATAGAAAAATTCATGCTTCATACTCATTTAAGCCACACCCACTTTCTGTTAAATCAAATAAGGCATCAAAAAAGGTATTGTTATTGTATAGTAATTGGTATGAAAGTTTAGGTATCGGTATCAAAAACATCTGAATGATACCCAGCCTTAAGGTGTATTCAGTTCAGCCAGTCTGGTGAGTTCCATGTTCAAACACACCTGAATCAACTCACCTGTTAATTATCAGGCCTCCTCCACCAGCTGTACATAAGCTCAAACGCAGGCTAGTTATAATGTAAGTATTTACTCAGTTCAGACTTGTGGATTACTGAATCAAACTGGGTTACACCACATAAATTATTTAACTTATTATATTACTTAGTACTTGCTGAATATGCACACCTGTTGGGGAAACCAGTGGAAACCTGTGTGCTGTAATTTTACTTCCAAATGTAAATATGACCCTGGTTTTAACTCCAAACATGAGGCGTACAGTTATACACAGTAAAGTAGGTGTTATATTGGACATTTGCTAGATATTTGATTTTCTCTGTTCCATTACTCCTGAAATAAACATGCAAAAATGATCAGGCCTATATTTTCTCACCCCTCAGAAACTAGAGAACAACCTACAATGAAATAAATGTCAAAAATGCTGTCCAAACAGCAAAACAGTGATGCATCACTGTTTAATGGAGCAGCTAAAAAGTGCACAACCTGTAAAACTGTTTACATTTTAATATATTAAAGGTTGTCATGGTTGTAGTGGTTATTTTAGGGTGACTATCAGCTTTAGTACATGTGAGTTTTTATATAAAACTTCAATACCATGAGTGCAGCAATAAATTAAAAATTTTAAATCATTTCTGAAAGAGAACAAAGTAATATTGAAACACTATGAAGGTTGTAGTAGGTACCTGGGACGATGACTGACTTACTACAGTTGAAATATTGAATATAAATCATATTGTATGCATATGGTAATACATTCAAAATTTTAAATCATCACAGAAAATTAACAAAGTAATATTGAGACACTTTGAAGGTTGTAGAAAGTACTAAGGAGAATGAGGAAATAAAAAGGAATAAAAAAAAACAATCTATATCGGTACTAAGTTTTATAAAATGTAAAAAAACGTTGTAAAATAATCTTGTAAACTTGTACACTTTGGGCCTCATTCACCAACCGTTCTTTAGAAGAAATTTCTTCTTAAAACCCACTTATGCAGTTTTCACAAGAATTCTGACATTCACCAGTGTTTTCTTATTTGAGATTTGTTCTTGGGTAAGACCAGAATCTACACACACTCAAGTTCACAAAGGTGTGAACAATTCTGCGGTTTAAGAACAGGTCATGAATCTGATGTAGACTTAATAACTAGGATAACTCTACTTGCCCGGCTAGCTCAGTCGGTAGAGCATGAGACTCTTAATCTCAGGGTCGTGGGTTCGAGCCCCACGTTGGGCGTGACTTGTGATTGCTTTTGCTAAATTTCCTTCAGGATTAATAAAGTATCTATCGATATGTCTTGTTCTGAACATGTTATCATTGTGTTAAAGCAGCATACGCATTAGTTAGTCTTTACTAGTTAGCACATGACTTATGGTACAACCGAATTTAGTAAAAGTCCAGGTGTAGTAGTTGTGGTTGAGCAGAGAAATCACTGAGCTGAACTGCAACCCTCTAGGACTCAAGTTGAAAACTTGTGTTGGTGTTTGTGTAGTATTATGTAAGTGTTTCTTAGTCCTACTTCTGGGGATCCACTGACCTGCACAGTTTCAGCTGCTCCCCCAACACACCTGACTCAGCTCACCAACTGCTTATCAAGCCACTTCATGGGCTGGAGATGTGTTGCTGCAGGGAATAGTTAAACCTCTGCAGTGCTGTGGTTCCCAGAAGCAGGTTTACAAAATAAGGTATAATGTGGTATTAAATAACAGTGGTGCTCCTCTTGTTTGTCCTGCTCTCGGCCTGCCTTCAGTAGCCGCCGTGCTGGAAGAGCGCCCCCTGTAGACCCAGATCCGCCCCTGCCTGAGCCCCTGCAGTTCCCCAACGGCCCACCCAGCCTACTGTCCCCACAGAGCATGCTGCAGGCGGCCAGGCAGCTGGGCCAGCAGGCATCAAAGAAAATCCTCCAGACTGTCACTCAAAAATACTCTTCCAGGTGAAATGCCCCTAGATCCGACCCTTTCCTAGCCCCACCCTTGCTTAACCCCCACCCCTACTGGCTGCCGTGGCTGCTAACAAGCTAACGTGGTGATGACCTTGTTGTAGTGCCCCTATTTTTCAGACCTTAACGTATGCTTGGATGGTCCAGCTTGAGCAATAACCATCAAAAGCAAATGTTACATTAATGCTGTATGTGTGATGACATCACGCTGGGGAGCTTAAAGCACTGTGAACCCCCTAGTGGGGATTTTTGAGCTTTTTTGAGCTTTTTTGAGTTCTGTTAGAGGCCTTTAATGCTTCTGCCTGCTGCGTTCTTCACTGCTTGCTCTGGTTTAATCAGTTCACTGCTTTTGCTGTGCCTATAGTGTAGCTTGGTAACCCTTTGCCTCGCTTGCTAGAGCTCGTAGATCACTCTTGTGACAGGCATTAAAGAGGTTCTAGTTCAATGTGAGTTCAATGAATGCCCATTCCTGTGGGCTCTGGTCTTTCTTTTGTATTTGAAGGTTCGGTTTCCCAGAAAACCCTCCACCTCACCCAGTCGAGGTCCACACTGATCAGACCAGGAAAAGGTGATAGAGGCTTCTTCTGGTTCTATTTGTTGATACTTAGATGAATTTAGAGGAATTTGCATTTTGTTGTTGTTTTTCTTTAAAGAAATGTAGCTGATCAAACAAGACATGTTTGTTGTCTGAAGTTTGCTTCATTAGCTGTGAGGCTAAAAACCAAGTAACAGAAGCTAAAAACCCACCGGTTAGCATGGTGGAAGCTACATACCTTCACACTGGAGTGTCTGACACTGCCTGACATACTGTTTATTATAAAAATGGACAAAAGTAAGCTGCATGGCTTAAAACAGTAGTGTGGCTGCTCACAAACATGATTAATACTAGAAAAAATTAAAGTGGCTAAAAATATTTTCTCCTTTTTTGGATATTCAAACAGTGATGCTTGGTTGAATAATTTAAATCATTTAGGTTCACTTTTATGATTTAATTTTAAATTGATTTTAGCAACATTTTCCAATTTAATGACCAAATTGTCATTATATGTATGTGCTTGGAATGAAGAGTTTGTGAATGAGAGTGCCATGTTGGTTTTCTAGATGTCAGAGATGTGAAGCTTTTGTTAGTGTCTGTTGTAGTCTAAGCTACCGTTGCTCTGTGATCCACCATCTCTTATGGTGGTGAGATTGTCATCTTCATGTGCATTGTGTGGTCTGCTAGCCATGAAAGGAAGTTGAATTGGAGCAGTGCAGTAATTAACATTAAGAGTAATGCAGATGTGAAAGAGCTCTGATCTGAACTGAAGTGTCTCTCTGATGCCGTTTCCTCGTCTCAGCACCATGCAGGAGTCCTGGCTCAGTCCTGAAGAAGAGACAGGAACTGCAGTCGAGTTCATCGTGCTTCGCAGACAGGTCAGTTCATACAGCCTTACTTAGACTGTTCTTATCGTCACTGTCGCACAAAAACCTTCAGATTGTTCAGATTGTACAATGAACAGACCAACAGAAATGGTCCAAAATCACTTCAAAAAATCTGGTTACTTTAACTTCCATTATAAGTTAAGAGGAATGAGCCTCATTCACCAACTGTTCTTAAGAAAAAATTCTTCTTAAGACCCACTTACACAATTTTCACTTAAAATTCTGATATTCACCAGTGTTTTCTTAATTGGGATTTGTTCTTAGGTAAGACCAGAATCTACACACACTCGAGCACAAAAGTGCAAAGTTTAAGAACATCATGAATCTGACATAGACTTTTTCTTAGGACCTTTCTCAAGAACACCTTTAAGAAAAAACTAAGATATAAAAAACCAAGATATAAAGTAAGATGTTGGTGAATGAGGCCCATTGTTTCCCTTTACTGTAAATTTACTATTTTAGAGATATGAAGATTTGTTCTAAAGCGACATTAAATTGGAGTAGGGTTGATCCATTGATACACTGACTGTGAAAAGTTTGGGGACACTTAAGTTTTCTAAATGTTGTTGTTGATGCATGTTGTTGAAAAAAAGCAGTTCATTTTGAGGAAAACAAAATCACTCATGTAATTATTGTGCCAATAGTTATGACAGTGCTATCTCTGAATAATGCGAAATCACCTTGTTGTGATGTCAGCGCTCAAACTTTTCAGCTGTTTAAAGGGGACCTATTATGCTTTTTCAGTTTTTCACTTTTCCTTAGTGTGTTTTATAGCCTTTTTGTGCATGTAAACAGTCTGTACAGTTACAAAGCTCAAAGCACATGTCAGAAGGGGTAACTGTTTCCCACACAAACCACTTTTCTCAGCTGCCTGAAACGGTATTCTAGCCTTTTTCCTTGTTACAAGATGATGCAATCTTGAAACACAATCCTTATTGCCCACCTCCCAGCAAGCTTGGCATACCCCCACACAACACACAGCAACTACTGGACACTGGAAAACGGTTGTTCAGTTTTGTAGGCATCGAGGTGTCGAGAAGATGCTGACCTGACTTTCAGCCTCAGACCCTGGCTCAAACTGAAATGGCAGAACCGACACCGTTGGACAAATAGCCACATTGGTGTTTACAGCTGCTCAGGAGAGAAGGGTCCCTTTTAAACCTCCTTTGGACCAAAAGTTTTCAGTTTGTAGATTTAAAAATAGTTTGGAAAACTGTCAAGTTCTTTATTTAGGCAAGGAAGACTTATATTCAATAAACATGAAGCTTAGCTTTGCAAAACAGAAAATAGCTGTTGAATGTTAAGTCTGTCATTTTTTTTTTTTACATAAAGCAGTAAATCAGTTGAAATGTGCTTCATTAGTGTCTTTGGTTAGAAACATAACACATAAGCCAGTCTTTTTGAGATAGCTTAAGAACTTCACAAGTCTGTGATTATTTAGGTGTGCAGTGTGCACAATGCTGATCAGTGGTGACAAGATTCCATTACGTCTTGGCCACATTAGCCTTGTAGGTCCAGTTCCAAACTGATCAGCTACATTTAGGCAAGTTGTGAAAAGCATTTAAAAAAAACATTTATTCAAGTTCATAAATGTCCTCAAACTTTTGAGGAGCTATGTATGTGTTGTACAATAGTCAGTTTAACCATTGTTTATGGAAAGAGAGGGTAAGGTTTATTTTTGCCATTGTGATTCACAAAGTAACCAGAAGAGGGTGCTACATTCTATCTTATAGAGATGTTCAGCCAGCAGTAGCCAAGAAATGAACTCATCAGCTCACATGCCTACTCTGAATGTTCCTCAAAGTCCATTCCTCACGTTGCTCTGGCAGGTGGTGAAGATGAGCAGGAGGATAGCGGGGCTAGAGAGGCAGAACGCTGAACGCAGGCAGAATGAACTGGTGCTCTTCTCTCTGCTGCTGTCTGCCTGTCTGCTTAATGGCTGGCTGTGGATGCGGAGATAACCCTGCAGACCTCTGGCTGATTAACTCCACTCCTCCACTTCCTCTCCAACAGGGCTCAGGCAAGCTGCCCTGCTACTAAATCATGCACTTAAACAATACATAGCTTAGGACTGCACTGTAATGTGATGGGGGGTTTGAGTCAAGATGAACCAGAGTGTTGTATATGGGTGAGTTGAGCTTTTTCTGTTGGGAAGCACTATGAAAACATGACTTCAAGGAAAGTTACAAGTATATTCACAGCTCTCCACTCCTACAATAAACACAGAAGCACTTTCCAATCGAAAAGTCATAAAGGGGAATTCCACCAAACTTTCAAAATTTCTGCTTTGACACACATAATTCAGAGTGCTTTGATGTGAAGTGGTTCATTGTAGAGAAATCAACCAGCTCAGATTCCTGTACAGTGGTGATGATAGGAACCAGGGGTCACAATGTCTACAACACACACAGACATTTTATTTACTATCCAAAACCACCTGCAAACCTACATGTGTTCTGCGTTTTATAACAGGACAGTAGTTTCAGTTGTTTGGGTACTGTTTTGTCTTACAACATTCTACACATGCATGTGCCATGAATAGTTTTAGGGCAAAACCTTTTCAAAACTACCGTAAAACAATGTAAATGTTGATGTTAGGTATGTATTTTGTAAGTGTTTTATGCAATAACATTCTGTCAGGGAGCTTTTTAGAAGCATTAAACTCTTCGGTTGTCTGGTTCCCATCACCATCACTGTGAACAATTCTGATTCCAGTTTCTCTAGAACCGAGCATTCACATCAAACAACTCTAAATTACTATGTCATAACTGAAAACTAACTAAAAATCTGTGAAATTTCCCATTGTCCACTGTTACAATACAATGCAAGGTTGGCTTATTCTGACAACACAGGCTGGACAGTAAATGGAACGATTTATTTTATTTTGTATTTAATTTTGAATTTTCGTCAGATTCTGTATGAAAGGCAGTTGAGAGTTTCTGAGATGCTGGAGGTGCGACAACATATAATAGTCATTTACACACTTAACCGAAATTATAAATATGCTGGAAGACTTGATAAATAAGTCTGTATGTTTCATTGTGTTTTGGATTTCCAACAGATCTTGCCAGTTTTGTCTCTCAAAAAGAATCACACTAATGCTTTTATATTCATGCATGAAGTTTACCTTTTTTATTTCAGCTTGTTGGACTGCATTTGTAATGTAATACATAAGCCTATTTAATCTAGTTTAGTAGGAAAATACTGTCTAGAGTCTTGGACGTTGTTGCATGTCTTCCTTCCAAGTGCAAAAGCTGCTTGAGTAAGCAGACAGAAACAACAAAACAATCAATTGCTCAGTATATTTATTTATTGAAAAATTAAATTAAATTTTGTCAAGAAAAAAATGTTATTTGGAACATGTTCTGGAGTATAAACCAAATAAAAAATGTCAAACCACAAAAGGACAACTGTATGAGATGAATTTTGTAAAAACAAAATATTTGATTAAAGAGAATACAATTGAATTAAAAACGAATCATGATTGTACAGTAATAACATTGTCAAGCAGCAACTAGAGTACACACTTTGTGATGAAAAATACTACAAAAATGAAGGAAAATATTCCTCACTAGAAGAAGGCAAAAACAGCCATCTCCGGGCTAAAAAGGGTAGATGCTGTACAAAATTCAAGACCAACAGGAAAAAAAACACACATTTTCCTAGATTGTCCTGAGCTGGACTATAGCACATTCTCTTTATGTTGAGCTGCAAAAAGTTGTTTTGAGTAACAAATGTAGCAAGACCTTCAAGACGGATAAGGGTGAATGAATCTTAGGTGGGAGTACAGAGATGGCTTCACTCAGAGTTTTCTTTATATCAACTTCCACCGTTAAAGGTGGTAGCAGCTAATGTCAAGGTCAGACCATTTATTATAGGCATATTTTGTCTACAGTATCTTGAGACCTATATAACAGAGAGTACTTTGAAATGTCACAAATTAAGGCACCTTACTTGAAAGAAGCAACACTGACGTGGTTCTTGTTTGTTACTAAGAACATACTCTACAGTTATAACTGTGCTTACAGGCACTGATCCCACCCAAGACTCAATCAACAGGTCTAGGGTCCATTGTCCTGTTTCTATGCCCAAAATTGCTGGAAATGTTTAAGTTCTAAAAGGAGACTGGTTTTAAAAATGCCAGTTTTGAGTCATATTTCAACAGTGGTTGATTTAATTGAGCTGGAATGATTAGCTGTATTCATATTTGAAAGAAAGAATGCTTTGAATGAAACTTGTGCTCAAAGGACATATGAGAGTAAACTGATGGGCAAATTTGTGCAGGAAATGTCAAGTACCAGTTGAGTAATACAGACAGGGGGCTCTAAATTTATAGGAAGAACCCCTTTACTGATCAGTTCCTTGCTGACATCCTCCATCCATGAAAATAATCTACATGAATTAGACAGAATTCAACAATAAATTCACAAGTACTGTTGTCATCTTTAGGTGAAACATTTTTGGGAATCAGTCAATTCAGAGATAACCAATTAATACTACAACATTAAGAGTTGGTTTACTGGACTAGGATTAGGATAAAATTGTAATAACAGGTGATTTACCACTGACAAGCCTTTTTAGACTAGGATTAAGCTTATTTTGGGTCCAGAAAACTGGCCCATTTTAAGTCTGTAAGTGAAACCACCTAAGTTCATGCAGATTTAAGGCACTACTTAAGGCTATCAAAAATATACTCTTTATTTGTTTTGAGTTACTTTGCACAATAAGAGAGAGAGGTATTTCAAAATGTTGATGAAATGTTTAAATGAGTCATTTCTGTGAGCTAAAGGACTGAATACCAAACAAAGATGAAACACGAAACACTGATTGTATGTTTTCAGGGCCTGTAGAAAACTGCTTAAATAATGTAGTAAATTTGTCTGGGACACTTAACGTTGACCAAACGGTAATATTTCTTTGGTCCTGTTTTTTTTAACTGATGACAAAAAATGGATGAGCTTTTTTAAAGATGTGCAGACTCGTGAAGACTATTTTTAAAGCACATCAACAACGCACTGAGCATATGCATTATTACTGTAAGCGCAAAACAATACTGATTCAGTACCAGAGCGTTGCTTCCATTTGGCAGGCAATGGCATGCAGTGAATGCAAATCTCAGTTGCAGATAGTTTGCTCTGAGATATTAAACAATGCACTGATAACTAATGATCCATTCTGCTTTCAGCCATGCTTAATGTAACCTTTGGTCAAAAGCTAAATGTCTATTACGCATTCCCTGGAAAACTGAGAAAGTGAAAACACTGTGAAATACACCTCCATCTCTCATACACAACACAACTCTGACCACAACCAACCATACTGTTCATAGCAGACAATGTACTCATAGTAACCATTACTTAAAAAAAACTGAAATGGCAAGAGACTTCGCAAAGCCTGACATATGAAGTGACCCCACACGTCCACCACATAAAGAGATGTGGTGCATTTCGTGAAAGGTGCGGAGACACTTTGTAGTGCTGTTTTTTTTTACCCAACCCAGAATTCTCTCACATCACACACTTACACAAACAAACCCAAAACCAGTTGGGTCATTTGACGTTTTGCATACACAGCAATGTAAGATTCTGGACCTGCACAGAACATCCTGTTGGTCCAACAGACCCGTCTATGCACCGCCCACAAATGCATTCTTTAGTAGCTGCTATTGATGTTCAATAAGCTTTACAGAAAACTGACAGAAATCCCATTCAAACAAGTGAGAGGTTCTAATGCTCGGCTCAGTTTTTGTCAAACTAATGACATTTAGAGTGCGCAGATTTTGTGTAATTTCTCTCATGACAGATGGTGAGTATTTTTTCTGTTGTGTTATTGAGCTTAAAATTAGTATGGTGGCAAATTGTATGTAGTCATTGCTTCCAATCTGCCTAGCTTCTTTCCACAGCCCATCTCCGTAGTATATTTTTTGAAACTGGAGACTCTTAACTGAAAGTAGCAACACTAAACAAACACTGTAGCTGTCTGACATGAATAATGTAGACACATATTGGTATTTAGAGTTGTGTCCACTACAACAGTTTTTTACAAAAGAACGCATTAGTGGGTGCAGCATGGATGGGCCAGTTCTCTTCAACACTGCATTCCTCACAGTGCCTTTTTTAGTTCCCAAGGCCATACACATTCAGTTCTATCTTACATGTGTCTTACAGTATTTAGATACAGTATTTACATGTAACGACTGTTCCGCTAGTTCCCATACCATTGTATACTCAAGTGCCAAGATTGTAACATTGGTATATGTGCACTACACAAAATATAACCTAGAAATAACATTGGAAGCTAAAATGGAAAAAGTAGTGCAATAACTGCAAAATTGGTTGCCAATACATTTGGTCCTAAACTCTGGAGGAGGAAAAGGCCACCAGAGAATACTGTACAAAAAAGTTAGTTAATCGTAACTGACATTGTATACTGAGGCTTTTGTTCTGTACAAGGCATAAAATATCACTAAAAATGTAGTGCATTTCAACACACCATTAGTGTCCCCCCAGTAAAGAGCTGATAGAAGAGCATACTGTAGAATAAAGGAATCCTTCACCTGTTTTATGTATTTATATGTGTGTATATGTTAGACAGTTCAGATGAGGATTTCCACCATCTCGCTGTCCACATCCTGCTGTGGCGGTGGTTGAGGGAGGGGTTGCTGAGGAAGAGACTGTACGGGAGCTCTTCTCTCTAGAGTGCTGCTGTGGAACACCGGAACATCTGCAGGAAGAAAAAACATCTTACTACAGCTGATACCACAACCTGTGTACATAATCACTTAGGAGTTTTGAATGTTGATTAAAATGTCACTCATAACAGACTGCACTGCCACTGGGGGTCAGTGTGCCAACTTCATGTAGGACTGGGTGATTAGATTCCATATCACTCACTTTATTTTGATATAGTTTATTTACAAATGCTTTAATTGTTAATAAACTATTTGGTGAAAGGTTTAGGATTATGTTAAGGCTTTGCATAGAAGATATGGTATGTTTATGTTTAGGGTCAAATTTGGCAGAGTCTATTACATTCAATTTAAGGTCTAAATATTAAGTTGACTATCTACAAAGCATCTATAGAGCAGTGGTTCTCAAACTGGTCCTCAAGGACCCCCGGACGGTTTAGATGTTTGGTCCTTTAGTTATTCCGGTAACAATTTATTTAGAGCGTTAGGTGTTACCAGAATAACTAACGTGTATTATGCTATTAGGCTCTAATAGACTAGACCATTAACAATTATATTCATCTTTTAATCCTGAAGAAAAATGACTTTAGAGTCTTACTAAAATACACTTGTACAGGGTATTTATGGTCAGCATTCAACATGCAACACTTGAAACTGTGTCAACAAAATAGGAAATAAGATTGAGAGAATAAAGTTGCTGCTGAAGATGTGTGGCCTTCAGTCTTTTCCTGTTTAGAGACACTGTGTTAAAAAAAAGTCCTTTTTTCTCTTCTTGTAATTTCAACTCCGAAAATACGATACTAGCTAACTCTCCACCTGTCACACTGTTTTGTGCTGTTGGGTGGGTGAATGGCTAGACTTCTCCCTCCCTGTCTAGTAAAAGGTGCACATCACCACCTAATGTACCGAAATAGCAACTATTCGGTGTTTAAGCCTTACCTGCTTTAGGAACAGAAGGACATCATTATTTAATTCAAAATAGCTTAAGTTCACATTAACATGAATACTGAGAAAATGTTTGGTTCCAATAATTATCATTATTGTTTTATGGGCCAGCCCCATTGTGAGGTTTATATCCCAACCACACTCACTGTAAATAGGTGTGGCATGAGTTGAGCCAGATGAACAGCATGTGTATAAATGTATGTATGCATTACCTGCGATGCGGTCAGGGATGTACACAGGACTTGGGCTGCTAATGCGGTTGTTTGCTACGCTCTGCAGTGCTGGCGTGCTGGGCTTGCTTGTATCCTGGCTCTTATCCGTCTGGGTGCAGCTGTCCCGGCTGCCTGTCTTAGAGTGTGTGGCGGCAGGCATAGGAGTGGAAGGCAACACAGGAGACGGAGAGGAGGAAATGGACTCCGCCCTCAGAGAATCGCCTCGGAACTCCGGGCCCAGTAACACACCTGAAGCAAGCAATGGAGAGGGGGAGGGGCTTAACAGCTAAATAAGACAAGCAGGAGAAGAAGGTCCAGAACAGTTTACCTTTTTACAGAAGAAGGCAAAAACCTTCACTTTTAATGTGAGTTAATGTAAAAAAGATTTTATTCCAAGCAATTTTAGAGTACTTCTATTTGTCCACTGATCATGAAATTTGCACACAAGGTAAAGGGCAGCTGCTGTGTACAAATCAACAGAAATGGAGATACTTGTTTGTTTTTTTGGGTTTTTTTTTTTTTGACATATTCTGTTCTTTCGACGCTATTCTGTTATGAACACTGGTTAGTAAGGCCATTTGTAGTCTGAATTTTCAAAAACCAACCACACGCAATACATAAATGTTAAACCTGTGTCTACATTTTATTATTCATAACATTAGAAAATATTTTCACATTAGAGAACTCAAATACTATTCATTAAAAATTGTGGCTATTCAAAAGACAAAAATATTAAAATGGCTGTTCCTTCCATCAACAAGTCAAACATTTAATTCCATTGTGTGCTGTAGAGGACACGCTCACCTAAACTGCCCTTCCAGCTGCGGTCTTCTCTGCGCTCCTCAGTGATTGGGCTGCTCCCGCTGAGGCCCAATGAGTGCGAGAGCAGGCCAGAGCCGCTGGAGCTGCCCGTTCCTGTGGCGATGGACATGAGGGATTTTGAGGGCCGCATGGTGGATGGTCCATCGGCCTTGCTGCCTGGCTCCTTCCGAGAACGCTGGTGTAGAACCTTGATCATGGCGTCCTTCTCGATTATCTGCGCATGCAGGTTCTTTATGCGGCTCTCCATGTCCAGGCAGCGGCGGTTGGCCATCAGGATCTCCTCCTCCTCTTTCTGGATGCGCGCCTCCACTGAGGTGTCATAGCTGCTGCTGGGTGAATGGCTGATGATGGCTGAGGAAGTGTCCCTGCACGAGGAAAGGGGTAGAAGCTGGAAGTGAGGTACGTATGTACATACACACAAACATCGCTTGAAACTCAATTTGAGGAAGACAATTGTAAGACTACACTGGATGCATATCTGCATAACACCTAGTATATGGAGAGTTTAGTTCAGAAGTGCTGTATATCCATTTGTAACACTTTTGGATACAATAGGTTTTTGAAAAGAACAACAACAACTTATGTGTAATGGAAAACATTTTTATTTATTTAATAAAGGTGATAATATAGCACTGATAGTTTTTGTGTGAAGCTCACTCCCAACAACATACATCGTGAAAAAAAATGAAAAAGAAAATTCTTAAAAGTGGTGCTTAATGCATTTTGGAACTAAACCTTTGATATGTTCATGTTCTGCCACAGATTCTAACTTAACTTCCATTATGTGAACATATGTACGTACCTCTGTGTGGCAACGGAGGCAGCGGCGTCCAGAGCGAACTGCCTCATGACGCTTTCCTCCAGGTACTTCTGCTCCCACTTTGTCATGTCAGCTTCCAGAGCCAGAATCCTCTCCTCCTTCTCCCGTAGGTGCTCCATCAGAGCTGTGGTGCTATACTCAGGGCCCACAGGGTTCTGCTGACCACCCTGCCTCTGTGGATCCCAGAGAGAGAGAGAGATGCTTTAGAGTGCAGCACTACTGCAGCTGGAATAGTTTTAGTGGAGGTTCTGTACAGTAATTTGTGCATGATAAAGTATCAGTAGTGTAATTTCTCCAAATGACCACAAATAGCCTAGACTGAAACATCATAGCTTGGATGTTTACATCATTGTTATGCAACAAGCACCACTGCAGCTTGTTGAAAATGGTTTGGTCTGCTACTGTAAAGTTACCATTTTGTAGATACATGTTCTTTTTGTTTGTTTTTTTCTTGGACAGCGATGATGCGGAATTATTCATGAGATACCGTGTAGGTTCATAAACTACACAGGCTTGTTGGAACAGTGTATTTGTGTATTTGTGAATCTCATTCCCCTGCCAAATGTTTCTGTTTAAAAAAGAGCTTACTCTCCAACAGTTGCTTGTATAAAAGCAAAGCCAGGTTTTCAGGTTTTAAACACAGTACAAAGGTTAGGAAGGATGTCTAGTGTCTGGGCCCCTAATGGAGAGCACAGCTGTTTGCTCTTCCACTCTTTAGCTCACTCTCTCTCCCTCTCCCACACGCACACACACTCATGCACAGTGTGAGCTGCAACCTTTCCCCCAGATTAAGGGTCATGTAAAAACACTGATGGAAGTTTGTATTGGACACACAGGAAGAGTAGAGTGGAACTGGAGAAATGAAACATCTCCAGCTCCTGCTGACTGCAGCTGAGCCTCTGCTATGCCTGCTGGACTGTTTAACGCCTGTGCCCATCAGTGAGTGCGTGTGGGAGAAAAACATAGTACACCCCACATTCTCTTCCAACAGAGTTTTTGTTGCAGTGACCACATGACGGTTGGTCTACAGCAGGGCCACACAATACGGCCAAAATATTAGTAGGGCAGTTGTGATATGCCTTGCAAAGCTTGTTAAATTGTTGTGCAGATATTTGGATTAGTTAAAAATGTGCTTCTTCCCATATTAAGAGCAGAAGGTCAGTGTGCGCATCTTTTAACCCATGCAAAAAATCTCTGTTGATAAATCTGCTCTTCTTTGTTAAACACAATTTCGCAGTGCTGATGTGTTTGTTTCATATGTAAAGAACAAGATCCCACAAAGCCAAACAAAACCATTGTGAACAAGAAAACATGAACAGGAACATTAATCACGCCCGTTGTGCTTTATCGTTACTCAAAACAACAATAAGTGCTTGCAGATTCAGACTGCAGTCTGATTGAGCTCATGCGCACATTCCGTAAAACCAACAATGAAGGAAATCTCATGCATGATAGAAAACACAGTATCACATAGAAAGCCCTGCGACTACACACTGAATCTGATCAAATTATTCAACTGTTGCCAATGGGGGTGCACATGTGATGTAACTCCTAGTGGTAGATTTAAAAGTGCAACTTTTTGGTCCATTCGGTTTATGTGGTTAAGACCATTTATAAACACTCATTATAAATGAAGGTCATTCAACAAACTCTGGCTGCCTATCATTTGTGTTCTATCCAACATGCTTCGACCCCGCTGAACGCCGCTTGCAGCTATATTTGATCCCTTAGCAGCTCATAGCGGTTACAATAATGCATAAAAATCTGTGTTCTGTGGAAAATGCCACCAATTTTGGATGGAAACTATGTTGTAGTTGACTGTGTTGGCTGCTAACAATAGTAATTTACACATTAACTTTTTTACATCCTCTGTGTGAAAGCCACTGAAGAAAGAAATCTGAATACACACATATGAATCCAACTTTATCACCTCACTGTCACTGGCAAGAACTGCTAGTTAATGTTAGCTGTAACTCATTTCACCATTAAGCTGATTTGCCAAGTTAAAGTCACTACAGCAAAAGTTAACATGTGCAATTTCACTACAAATGAGAATAAAACAGCTTACTTCCCATAAATTTGCTACTGTATAAAATCATCCTAAACCTAGTTGATGTATCCAATATGTCTAATTTTAAGTAAAAAAAAAAACTTTATGAAATTATTTAACTGATTTCTAGACATTTTCCCTTGTAAGTTACTGTTATTTAGTGGAATCATCTCACCATATTGACAGATAAGTTTGCTTGTTTTAAGAAATATCCTTTTTTGCAGTGTTAGTTCACATTGGCTTATAGAAATAAATTACTATATTGGGTTGGCCGAATAATGACAATGAGCTGCTGCTGTGTTGTGTTTGAGGGAGGTGTGTTTAAAATTCTTTGCTGCCTGACCCCCCAAACATTAAACACTCCTCAGATCTATACAACTAATGTGAAAGGCATGTTTATCTTTCAAAATGGCGAATTCTGCAGAAAGTTAAATCAGGTGTGCTGGGGTGGAATCGGCTGCATCGAGGAGAAGAGGAACTAAACCTTCTAACTGGTTCAGAAGATACAGAATAATCGTTTATAGCATCAGCGTTCATTTATACTTATCCTAATATTTTATAGTGTTTTTACTAGCTAAAGCACATTCACTGCCCAAATAGTAAACAGTTTTAACTGTACATCTTATAAGTATATCCTTCAAGCCAGGCTAATGCAGATGGCCAAATTCTTTTCACATTCTGTACAGTGTGGGTTTTTTGTGTTTGTTTGCATTTCTGTTTCACCTGTTGCATCCTGAGCGACTCCAGCTCTCTCTCCAGGCGCGTGCGGAGCCGGTGCTCTAACTGCTCTCTCTTCTCACATGCAGCCTGCAGCTGAGCCAGAGCCTGCTGCATCCTCTCCACCTTCTCCACGTAGACCTGCTTCTTCTTCAGCTACACACATGCACACAGGGAACATACAGGTAAGCCCCACTGCTCCTTCCTCAACTGAAAACCCACCTCACAATAACCTCTTTGTGTCCTTCAGATCCCTCCACCCAAAAGGAACTACTTTCAAATCCACCAGAAGCTATAATTGTAGCTCAAATGAATGGCCCAATTTAGCTCAGGGGGCAATGCAGCACAGAAGTAGCAGAGAAAGAGGACAAGTATGCGGCTCCTGTTTAGACAGGACTGGCCTGGCCTGGTTGGTGAGTGGGTTTGGCGGGGGGGTTTGGGGGGGTTAAGAATTCAGTCATCCTCAAGTCCTTTCATGGCAGACAACTCAAGAGGCTTTGTTTGGGGAACAAGCGGCCATTTGTGACTGGGGCCGGTGGAAAGTGGAACAGGCCGGTGCATTTTGGGACGGCTTCAGCAGCGGCCAGAAGGCCATCTGGGGCTCAAACGGTGGAGGCAGGCCACACACTCCAACTGTTCCAAACACACTCACAGACTTCAGACTCACAGGAGTCAACGCTGCCTGAGCTGCTTTCTCTCTGTCACTTTCTATCTGTGTCTCTTTCTCTCTCTCTGTATGCCTCTCTGTTTCTCTGCTGGTCTTTCTTTCTATCTCTCTTTGTCTGTCAGTCTGTCTGTTTCTCTCTGTTCCTCTCTATTTGTATCTCTTTTTCTATCTCTCTGTCTGTCCCTTTTTCTTACTGTTGCTCTCTCTTTCCCTGTGTCTCTTTCTTCTCTTTATATCTCTGTTTCTTTCTGTCTGTCTCTCTTTTGGACTTTCTCTTTGTCTGTCTGTCTGCCTGTCTCTCCCTCTCCTCTCTCTGTTTGTGTCTATCGCTCTGTCTCGCTTTCTCTCTCTCTCTATTTTTTTCTCTTTCTCTGTTAGTTTCTTTCTCTCTTTCAGTTCAGTTCAGAATAGCTTTATTAGCATGACTGCATGACAGTATAACCAAAGCATTATAACAGTAGTAATAACAATGAAAATGACAATAAGAACTATAACAAATAATAACCATATAAACACACACATACACACAAACAAACAGATATAGAAAACACTTGATAAGGGATTTAATTGTTAGAAATCAGTAAACATTTTTCTGTCTCTTCTCTCCATTTGTGTTTTTCTCTGCCTCCACCTGTCTCTCCTTCTCTGTTAGTGTTTCTCTCTTTGTGTCTCTTTTTGTCTCTTTGTCTCTCACTTTCTCTGTCACTATTTGTGTCTCTCTTTTTCTGTCTATAATAAAATACACAGAACACTAGAAAAGAAGTTTATTGCGGGATTGGCAGAAATCAATAGAAAAAAACTGATGGAATTCTCTGTCTGTCAGTCTCTCTCTCTTTCTCTCTCTCGTTATCGGCCCTAGCTGAGGCTGTTTAGCTGTCGGCTGAGTTTTCTAAACTCGTTTGGATTCAGTGAAGGTCGTGGCCAGCTGTTCACTCAAGCTTGAAGATTTTAACTGCGGCTCTGCAGTGTTGACGGGAAGAACTTCAAAGTTGCCGTCCACAGGGAGGGTCGAGCCAAAGTTCTTTTGTGGTCAGCTTTAGGGCAGACGAGTTACCACTGACTTTACTATATAAATGTCAATTTAACGAAGCTTTCAACAGAGCGTCAAAGCACCGGCAATCTTTCTATTATGTGGTACGACCAGAAAATGTGGCTTTACATGTACTTTCAAAACTGTTCAATTCAACGGCAATATCTCTCATCTTTCGTACTCACAATAGTAAAGCGCTTTCATTTCTAGTCATCCATAAACTGACTTTTTACAAGTGTTCTCTCAGTAAGAATGATGGCAAACAAAAAAAAAAGCTATTCTTCAGCATGGACCTATGACTCAGCAAAGTATTAGGCACACTCACAGCAATGAAGTAAAACCCTAAATTCCTCAGAGCTCCTCTGAGATCCTTCTCAGTTTTAAACTGAACCAGATATTGCAGCCTTTGGCTCGAGGGTGAAAAGTGTCCACAAGGGGGCCCATACAAACACACACACACACACACACACACTCTCTGACAGAGAACTTGGAGTCACTCAGAGATAATTGATCCCAGATTTAACTGAAAGCATACCACTCAGTTCCCTCATATGCTGCAGAAATATGCTGAGCGGGCCACAGTTAAAAAAGCAGTGAGCTCACCTCCTCCTCTAGTTTGACTACTTTAGCCTGAGCATTTTTCAGTGCCTGGTCGCGGATCTCGATGTGCCTGCGCTGGTCCTCGTTGGTGGAGCGCAGCGTGTTCAGCTCCATCTCAAGTTTCTCCTTTTCCCGCTGAGTCTCTTTGTCTGTGGAACGGCCCAACAGTGAAAGACAATCAGCTCAGTTCAGGTGGCTTTTTCAGCCTTTTGCCGCACTCTGAAAACAAACCACTGAGCTTGGGCTGTTGTGATGACTCGATTAAACATGACTCAGTGAATTCATGATAATGCATGCTTTAGGCTGGCTTTACACAGTGAAACTTTCATGCTACATGCTGTGAGGTGCATACAAATTCATTTCCGTGCAACTTGACAGTTGCACAAAGCAGTTCAAAGTTGTATGCAACAGATTCAGTTACAGATAGTTTGCCAAAACTAGCAGCCTGTATTTTTGATATACCGTATTATTGTCGCTATAAAAAGTCATCCAGGAATTTTTCCAGCTGTCAATAACATTCTTTTTTCTATGTCTGTACCTCTGTCTTTCATTTAACTACCTATGGTCCTTAACAGTATGAATGCCTTTTAAACCTGTTTGATCTGTATAAGTTAAGCCTGTGCAAATTAATATAAGTAGCCAGTATAGTTGTACTTGTCTCACTCATCCTGTCCATGAAGTACTGGGAGTTCTTAGAAGTACTGCATGTGGCGCATTATTAGCATTTTGATTGTCTGTTTAATGAAAGTGAGCTGTGGGACACTACATTATGCAACTCAAGTGCAATTTAGTTTCATGTAGGTTTCAAGCATCTAAAGTTGCAAAAAGGTTTCACTGTGTAAAGCCAGCTTTAAATTTTCCTACCTTAGAGCATGAAATATAGTCTAATGGACACCCTCATTCATATGCATTTTTGCAGCAGATTTTTTTAAAGGTTTTCTAATTTATCTTTTTTTTCAGTGAAGTATTTTAGAGACTTTAAAAGGCTACGCAATGATTGTTATTATTCTTAGGCCATTTTAATCAGTATTTGACTAATTCAATCAATTACTAATATAATTAATAGTCATAACTCTACACTCAACTAATTGTGTTTGTGGTGTCTCCAGATGGCCATAAACCACTCTTAATGCTCTTTTTCAGCCTGGAGGGAGAAAATTCTGGAAGGAGCACTCACTCTGAGCCAGAAGCTGCGAGATGGTTTTGCGGTTGTCCTCTGTGCCCTCACACTCTTTGGCTGCTAGCTGCTTGTTGGCCGTCTCCATGCGTTCTATGATGGGACATGATAAGAAAATGCTTCATGAAAACAGTGCACTCCTCTCAACACTAATAATGATTATGAAGTTATAATGAAGTTCCTACACGTGTTGGAGAACCAGTGCAGTTCAACCAGGTTATATTAAAAGCACATGTACATATACAGAAGGTGATGGCAGCTGACATTTCACTTCAATCATGAAATCATTTGTCACTATATTAATCATTATTATTACTATTGTTTAAAAAACCAGGCATAGTATATACACTCAAAGAAATTATTACCAGCAGTAAAAATGCACTGAAAAAAGCAGTGTATTGGATTTTGGATTGTCAATTGTGTATAACATTTCCACATGAATAAAATATATTACATTGACACAGTTATTGGCAAAAGTAAATAAATTGAAACACAAAATTGTGTTGATGTACTGAATTCACATGAAAATAATGTACACATCATGTCATGTAAACCATTTCTTCAATGTGCGCTCTGCATATTTTTAAGTAGTAATAAAATTCAGTGCTTCTTTGGCAGTCTTCTCTAGACATCTACGCACACATGAAACGACACTAGGGCTGGTTGCTCAGCAAAATGGAAAACAAAAATAAAACAAAACTTTACACGAGTCTGATTCCCACAAAGCAGACCAAGTCATAATTCTCCAAATGCTGTTAAGTTTAAAAAAAACGACTGCCTTAACAAAAGAGCTATTATACCGCGGGGGTTGATGTTTTTTTTTTCGCAATAGCAAAGCGTTCATCAAGAAAGCAGGCCAAACGTTAAAACAATATTTCCCCATGTTAAGTCAACTAGGTTCTGTGACGAGTATTCCAGAACCAAATGCCTCACTTCTTAACATCCCAGTTCCATAACATGCAATGGAAATTTAGTTTTGGGGTTCTGAAAATAAGGGTTTTTTTTCCTAGTGTGTTGGGCTGCAGAGCAGAAAGAATGAGAAACATGGGGAGTAAGAAGGGAGGGCAAGAGAGAGGGAGAAGGAAAGGAGGGGGAAAGCCTCTGCGATTTTGCTGTAAAACTCTCGGGGCTCCCTGTGGATTTGGAGTCTGGGCTCATTGCCATAAATCAAGGATTTCTCTGTTCTCTGCTGCTCCAAAGAACAACCATGAGGCAGAATGGTAGAGGTGGATACACTCAGCCTGTTCACAGGCACTGAGCTAGCAAACAGTGGAGCATTTGCTTTGGGTTAAGTGAACAAAAAACTTCAAGAGGAAAAAAAACTAGAGGAACTGAGTTGAAGAGAAATATTCAGCTGGGCTCCAAATTTGCTTTTGACAAAAATAAATGTTCACACAGCTTAGTCAAGACCAGATCTCATTATTCTAGGCTCTTCCTCTATTGTGCTATACCATCACCAATGATGGCAAAGATCCATGAAGCCTCCTACTGCACTTCATGCAAAAACAGACACTAACGCCATTCAACATAAGACTATTCTTCAGTTATTCATCTTAAGAGTTATTATAATGAGTTACTTATTATTTGGTAACTACTCTGAAACTAGTAAGCTATGTATGTTATGACACTGAGAACTGAAGTATGGACCCAAATAGTCACTCAGGGTTCCAGGGGTTAAAACATATCTGTAATATTTCTTAGGGGGTATCTCTCTAGAGCCAGAGAGACCACAATGTTTATAAAAAAAATAAATAAAAAAAAAATAAAAAAACTTGTTTATCACAAGATGTGATGAAAAGGATGAAGCACCACAAGGGAACATATTTTGGGAGAAGGTAACAGTGCAGCCACTCTGTGCTTTCTTATCAGACTTTGAAATTTCAGCTAGTGGCGTAGTGCAATTATCCAAGCTGCCCTGTGAGATCAAGACCCCGCAGTGCCCTCTCAAACCCAGACTCAAACTCAGCTCACCTCTCAGATCCCTGTTGAAGTCGTGCAGCCTGCGCACCTCCAGCTCCAGCTTGTCCCTCATGGTTTTTTCCAGGGCCTCCCTCTTAGACGATGACTTAGCCAGGTTCTCATACGCCTCCGACACCCGCTGGATCTCAGACTCCATCTACAGAGGAAAGGATGTTAGAAGTCACTGCCAATATGCCTTTCTCGCTTGTTCATTTTACCTTTATAACTCATAGCCTGCAATAACAAAGCATGTTGTTATATGAATTATCATTAGTAACTTGTTGAAACAAGCAGAAAAATTCTCTAAAAAGTGTTTGAGTAGAAGAGGAGATATTTCATTTTGTTTTGAATTTGATGAAAAGCCATCCTACAATCTTTAAGCTCAAAAAGGAAAAAAATACCATACTTTACATTTTTTGCCATTATTTTCTAAACATTTGGAAAAAAACAGAAGTACAGACAGAATGTAAATCACATGTAATACACTGAATTAATTATACAACTATGTAATTAATTATATGATTATGCAACTACATTGAAATAGTATAGAAAATTATTTAAGTTCCTGTTTTTGAAGTATACTTTGTGTGATTTTTCACATATTTATGTGGGTTTTTTTGGCTGGAAACCATCACAGCAATCTAGCAACCATGGTCAACAGTTGCTAAAGAACAAGCAATAGGAGCAGAGCATAAGTGTGGAGGAATTATTCTTTCAGCATATGGAATAGCAAACTGCAAATAAAAAACAAGCTGCAAACACAGAAAACACTTTCATCAAAATAACAACATGTGCGCTGCATTTTGAAAACATGCTGCAAAATAACAAAGCGTGCGGCAAATCCATCATCAGTAATAACACAACAGAAATGTTTCCAGAGGTGATGGAGCCATTCAGACTTAAACAGTCTAAACATTTACCAGTAAATATAAGTTAACTTTAATTGAAAAGATTACTAATATCACTGTATCACAATGGGAATTTGGAGCTTTAGAGTGTAAATATAAAAGTTAAAATAATAATACCAGATGTAACTGATAACTACTGTAGTACAGCTATAACATGTCAGATAGCTAACTAGCCAGCCAAAGTTATCCATAAACTTACTGGAATGTAAGTCTCTGTGGTCTTATCAACCTCTGATCAGTGATTATCCTTCACAGATATTCCATCCCCTCTGATAGTCTTCCAGAAACATTGCTGTTGTGTTATGGCTCACTTCTGTGTGTTCTGTATATACAACATTACAACGTCTGTGAAATGTACTTCAAGGGTAGTCATGCTGATTAAAGCGTTTTCTATGTTTGCATCGTGTTTAGGAGTCTGCAGTGCATTTTTAACTGTACTGTGTATATGGTCGTTTCAGCCACAGTATTCTTTGCTTATTTTCTTTACTACACAAAACTGTTTTATGCAAGCAATAGAACACTTCAGATTGTATTCTCCTGAGTAACAACATGGCTGTGATGATCTGTGGCATGAGCTGGTGAAGCCGTGATGTTAACCATGATAACAACCTCCCTCTCTTGTTACTAAGACTACAATAACGCTAGTCTTCTAAGGATTAAAGCTGATGTAAATTGGGTAGAATCGACGGTTATTAAAGGTTATTAAGTTTTCTTACCTTCTGCAGCTTGGACACCTTCTCCCCAAACACCTCCATCTCCTGCTTGAGGTGTCGGTTCTCCTCTGTAAGCATGTCTACCATCTGTTGGGCGCGGGCCAGCATGGCATAGGGGTCACCCTGGATGGAATGAGGGTGAGGGTAGTGCTGCCCAGGTCCCTGCTGCTGCTGCTGTTGCTGCTGCTGCTGGGGCCCTTGTGGGTGAAACTGGTGCTGGTGCATGTGGAGGCCCCGGGGGGCTGAGCCATAGGGATCATGCGGGAAGCCGTGACCACGCTGGTGTGGTGGGGGGTGTCCCGGGCCGTAAGGATCTCCCTGGTGTGAGCCCGGTCCTTGTGGGCTCCGTGGCCCCATAGGGAAGGGAGGCTCCCCTTGGTGGGTCATGGGCAGCGGAGGATGGGAGGAGGCCATGATACTGCTGAGGGTGGAGGACTGGGCACGGGACAGCGAGCCCACTGAGGTGACAGAGGAGGTGGGGCTGTGGTGATGGATGGGCCTCTGAGAGTGGCCTGAGCTTTCCTTACTGGAGCTGAGGAGAACAGAGCAGCCAATTGGAAACAGGTTTGATTAACGCATGCTTACTAAAAGTCACGATCCACTTGCCACAATAATAAAAGAGTACCACAGCATTCTGTGACTGACACAATACTGAACAGCACATCAAGTTTTAGCTGACATATACGTACGACATGATTTACAGGCTGAGGCAAGTGCAGGATAAATAACTGGCTGAAAACTGTGTGACCTATACCACATATATGACATCGTAGGTGTTCTGCAAAAAAACTATTTTTCACGTCAACATTCCTGTTTCTATGGAACACAATAGGGAAATAGTCATGCCGTAACTTGTAGTGGTTGATTACTAAAATTCGGACTGCATTCTTCTGCAGTGTGCCACACTGGTTCTGAGGTTAATGAATTAAAGGAAAACAGGCAAAACTGGCTCTTCCTACAACGCCTGACAACATGTTCCAGCATTTCAGGGAAAGGCCACTCAAAGGGGAATTTAATCTTTTCCCATCTATCGACCGTAGGTAGCACTTACCTGGTGATTTGTAGGTAACTCAGATGGTAATTAGGCTTTATCCTGGTTCCTGAAGTCTCCAGCAGTACATATTTTATTGTTTCTGACTGTTTTTTTGTTTCTGATTACTCAAAACAATAAGCCCTTCATAAGTGAAATGGGTTTGTAAGATGTGGAGTACAAGAAAGGGACAGTAAAACAGTGGCTGAAAACAGTGTTTTCAGTTCCAGTCCTGGGGAACCATTGAACTGTGTAGTTTCAACAATTCCCAACCCCAACACACCTGTTCCAGCTCATCACGTAGTTCTCAAGTCCATAATAATCTGGATCAGGTGTGTTGGAGGAAGAGAATGGCTGAAACTATGCAAGGCAGTACATCCCAAGGACTGGAGTTAAAAACCACTTAACCACCTGCCTAAAACGTAACCAGGAAACAGAAATGCATTTTAAAAGGAATTTCCCTTTAAATCCCCTTCCTCAGCCAAGGTTTTCAATGACTATAGACCCCACTAACAATATGAAAATGCACTTTCATATCATTATTTTTTTCTTTTGGAGAGCTTTACATCAGTCTGATTTTCTCTCTCATATCTCGCTCATCTATCCCATACAAATACTCAGCAGGACTCAACCTATCCATACTCCACTTACAAATACATCCTTGCCGTAAACTTTGAGCTTAGTAAATCAGCCAAGTTTTCTCCTAAAGCACAATAAATATAATCTGAAATGAATGACACACTCTACATATACATACACCACACATATTTATGTACGCTACAGACTCTCATTAGGTTGATTAAGAAGGTTGTCCAACTTCTCAACAGTAACTACAAAACTGATTTGTAGATGGAGAACGGACAAGCCAACTGGTTAACCCTATTGAATTGAGAATCTCACTGGAAATCCATTCTGAGAATTTGGCATCGGCCCTTTAACTCGTCTTACTCTGCCACCAGAGGAGTTACTGTGTGTGCATATCCAACGTGGCTACAGTGAAACCTGTCAGTGTGTAGTTTTAGCAGTTTCTATGTGGTATTGTGTTTTCTGTCACTGTGTAAAAGATGTACAAGACTTCCTTTATTGTTGGGTGCACTGTGATTTTTTTTCCAAGAAAGTCCACAAGCTCATTCAGAGCACAGTTTAGATTGGTAAGCGCGTATTATTGTTTTGTTTAAAAGTCACATAAAAATGCAACTGGCGTGCGACATATTCATGTGTCTTCTTGTTCAAAAAGATCATTTGTGAAAAAACAACATAAAAATCTGTATTTCTACTTTGTTAGATCGGATTCTACATACCAAATAAATGCACCGACATCATAAAGAAAAAAGTTTTGCATCAGATACTCCTCACTCCACTATAAGATACTCACCGGAAGGAGCCATACTCCGGTGGTGGCTGATATCGAACGTGGGGCACCTCTGCTCTTCCCTGCTGGCCTGCAGCCCGATGCTCCGTGAAGTAGTGTCCCAGCTCCTGGTGCTGTGGTTGGTGGTGGTGCTGCTGCTGTTGTTTGGGTGGTGAAGGAATGCCCTTAAAAGGGTAGTCCGGTGGCGGGCCCCTGTGCTGTGGACCTGCAGGTTTGTAGTAGTCTCCCGGGGGGCCGGGCGGGGGCAGCTGAGGTGAAAGCGGGGCACTGGTGACAGGTGCATGGGCTTTGACACCACTTGTGGCCAATGAGAGCTGCATGAGCCTCTCGCTTAGCGAGCGCACGTGGCCCTGCTTCAGGTCTTTAAGCCCATCATCCTGATGCACCTTGCCTGCGCTAACCCGCTGCACTGCGGGCCGGCCCTCCGGAGGCCGCACCTTTGGGTTGGAGACACCGGTCACGTAGAAGGCAGCACCAAGCTGTGGCTGCTGTGGCTGTGGTGGCTGGTGGCCACGGAAATACTGCGATTGCACTTTGGCCTCCTCATAGGATGGCAGATCCTCAGGGTTTAGCCCTTGGCCGGGGATGCAGCCGCCAACGGATGTCCCACCACTGCCTCCTCCAGCACGTGAGTTGAGCTGCTTCTCCATGCCACTGTCCGCCTGCAGCTCCTGGCCCTGCGGCTCCTGCCGTGCAATGTGGGGGACCATGGAGTGCTCGTCCCCCGGGCCTCCAGGACCCGGGTATCCGCTCAAAGGACCTTGCTGCTGCTGTTGTTGCTGCTGTTGTTGCTGCTGCTGCTGTTGCAAGGCGAGGTAGTTCCGGCTTTCGCCATAGCGCATCTGCTCCTGCAGGAGACGCTGCAGGACGGTGTGGCCTCCACCACTGCCGCCACTGGCCGAGGTTTCTTCGGAAACGGAGGCTGCCGCCCTCATCTCCGGCTCTCGCGTGCCACCCACCTCATGGAAGGAGGAGCTTCGCCCCCGGTCCACGCTCCCTAATGGCGCCAAAAGCAAAAATATTGAGTTGGTGCAGACCAAGTCAAAAGTAAAGGTACAACAGCAAGACGGCAGCATGACGACAGTTCATGTTACATCTAGCCAACAATGATTGGAAATGAAAATGTAATAAATAGAATCAGAGGGTTTGCATTAATCCTGCGCCTTGAGGAGTCGAATGCCCCACCAATAAATTCAAAACCCCACTGCCCCAAACTCCTAATGCATTGACCAGCTGGGTGATACCACAGTTTTAATTAATATGAATCCAGAAGCCGAAAGAAGACTCTATTCCTCATGGCTGAAATCAGTTCATGCAGTTTCTCTTTTGTAAATGACCTTAGTCATTGTGTAATCAGATTTCATTGTTCCTGATTGGATGTGATTATACCCAGAGCCAAGGCATGTCCACCCAGCAGGACCTTTAACCACCAAAACAACAAAGCAACTGTTTTTATTCTTTAAACATGCAGTGCAGATAGTTGATCATCAACATTACCTCCAAATTCAAAGCTCTAAACTGGCCTGACCTTTAATTAGTGAGCTCAGGACAACAAACACATAATTCCATGTTGCATTTTGCGATTTAAAATTGTGGTGAAGTGTTAAAGCATACAAAGCCATTAGGAGGAAACCCTTCTGTCAGACTACATAGTGCCATAGCAACTCACTATTTAAAACTACTACTAAATTAACACAGACTATACCACAGCTAAGTGAAAACGAAGTTAAATATTAGACTACAAATAGTGCATTTCTGTATCTTTTTATGTTGTTGGTTAGGACAGAATGGTTTCATCTACTGGCCTTGCATACAGTTTGCAGTCTAGCGGTTAATGAGCCATCTATAAAGTAGTGAAAGGGAACTTATTACATCTATTGCTTTCTGAAATTCTCCGCATTCTCAAGGAGGATGAGGCTTTTTTCCGAAACATCTGTGGTAAATAAATAAATAAATGTACAGAAAGTCAGGAATGGGGGCCAACAGTGTACTGCTGTTTTCCAACAAGACAGGGAGAGAGAGGAAGGGAGGGAGAGAGTGACAGAAAGAGAAGAACAAAATGCAATTCACAATGGAATACTCTGCCTCTGCCCCACCAACCCTCCAAAACCACATACTGTAACTTCCACTTCCTGTTGCTCTTCCCACAACTCTTCACTCTCCCTCACTGCCTCCCCCTCCACAGAACCAACTACAGAGATGGCAACAGACAAAAGATGATGACAATGAAAAAGGTTAAAAGAACTCATGGTTAAAACAGACAGAGACATTGATGACAATCTGTGATGGATATCTGGTATTATTAAAGAGCATGAATATGAAGATAAGCTGAATATGAAGACTAATGACTGTCTGAAACAGCTGTCCGACTGCCTCGTAAAGCAGCAATACCACAGTAACTGCACTGTAATACAAAACAATGGTTAGCAGATTTGTTAGTTACATTTGCGTAACAAAAACATAACAGTGTTTGCTTTGTTACATGCATTACAATGAGGTTACTGGCTGAAAAACATCTGATTGGCTTACTGTATATTTATAGCACTGCTGTCTGTTTATAATCTCTTCATAATTTAATTATTTACTGCAATCTACACCTAGCTAGAACATAATGTTATAAATAGAGATGGCACCAATTTAATATTCAGTATCACACTGATGTTAAAACAGCAGAAGCATATCGCTGTTGTCAATTCACATTCAGAGCTGTAAAATCCAGCTATGAAGACACAGTAGGCTAGCGACTGGTGTGATTCAAATTCATAGGTCTTGTTTGCTTCCTTTTATGAAAAAGTGCAATGGTTTTTGCTTACGAGCTTTCACGTTTGAATAAGTTTCCCGCTTGCATTGATCTCCGCCCACAAACACACCCACAACAAAACAGCAATGGGGATTTTTAATATCAAAATTGCCTTATGATAGAATTACAGTCCCTTCCTGTTAAATAGCCCAGTTTTCACACATTTGCACTGTGATATTTTTTAGATTTTTTAAAGAAAAAAATATCCGTTTGCTATTCGCATTACCTTTTTCTCAGTATTGATATTAGTATAAGAAAAGAACAAGGAGAATCGTGTCATCTCTAGTTATAAGTGTTGAATTGTTGCTGCATCTAAAAGGAGCAGCTTTTCAACTCAGGCAAAGACTAATGTGAAAACGTGGCATACTACACTGACACTTTGGACACTGACTTTTTGTATGCTCGTTATACGTAGTTTGTGAACAAGACTATGATTTACAATTGATGTTGGATTTCTGAATCAGTCAGATGCTCTGACAAATACACTTAGGCATGTTGTATTGTTTACCATTAGCCAATCTAACAGCTTTTCTACTTCACCGCCTAGTTCGCCTAGCCCAAAGTGCTCCAATCTAGCGTCCCTAACCAAGTTACCTACCTGTGTAGCTGCTGTAGTTGGTGTCTCGGCTCACTGTTGGCTGCTCATGGTGCTGGCACTGGCCTGGCTCACTCTCCAGAAGCTCTTCGAGGCGCTCCAAAATGCACAGGCGGTCCGCGAGCTCCCGAACGCCCAGCCACTCTACAACAGGAAGGCACTCTCACCAGCTAGAACAATGGGGGTGGGGACCACAGACAACCAGAGGGGCTTTTTTCGAGAATATTAAAGCGGGTGGGGGGTCAGGAATGTGAAATACAAGGGGGTTACGTATGTTTCCTGGCCGTGACAGAACTGAAAAAGAAAATGCCCTTGTTTTTTCCCCCCTTCACGGTCATGAGAGACCCCTGCAGCTGTGTGGTCGGGCCATGGCGGGACAGCACCCTCAACTTCTGAACTGAAGTCAGTCAGAGGAGTTAAGAGTTATTGTGAGTTAAGAATAAAGCGTGACTTAGAAAGACTGGTTCCAGATCAGTTGGTATGTAGAGAGAGAAAGCAAGCCAGTGGGAGAAAGGGCTAAATTCAAACACAGGATGTGAGGATGTGCATAGTTTTAAAGGGGGATTACTCAAGGGGATTCAAACTGCTCTAAGCAAAATAATACAATCACTATGGGAACAGTGTTCTACTCAAGCTGGCGTGTAAAATTGTACAGACGTTTTAGCAGGAATCAGTGGAACAAAAGTCTTTTTGAAAGGATTTGGGCCACTGATATCTCACACATTAGGGAAAATGTGCTTCTCTCCATAAAACAGAATTATTCCAGCAGAAACATTTACATTCCGAGGACGAGCCAACTCAGCGCCTGCCTCTAAACAAATAAACTCATTTTCTCTTAGAGACTTAGGACCACATGTGGAGAACGACCCGAGCTGTCTTGATTGTTTCCACCATTAACAAGTTCCTACAGTAAATCTCTGATGACATGGTGAAAGTACACAACTCTGTGTCGCCATTCAACATCAACAGAAACAGATCCCTGAGCCTTTGAGGCCTAACCGCACAATCAGCTGGAGTGGGACAAGACAGCCCTCCCTTACTTACTCAAGCACCACAACCGCTTGTTTAACTGATCACACACACATACACACGCAAGTTTGTTTCTACACCTTAACAGGACATAGAGTCAGACATATATAGCACACATATTTTATACATATAACTGCCTATCTGTTATAAGAATTTTCTATGAGGGATGTGCGATGACATCGGAATCATATCAGCATCGGCTGATCTTTGCTTTAAAAAAACACTGGCATCAGACAGATGTTTAGGGTGACTGACATTACAAACCAATATTCGATGTTGGTGGACTACTGCGCTAAAATGACTGCATTTTATTCAATTTTAAACTCTAAAATGCTAATATTAGTCGATTTAGTCATAATTTCTCCATTTTATAAATGTGTATGTATCGGCTTTGGCATGTATGTTAATGAAAATTAACAGATATCGGCATAGGCTCACAATTTCAAAATATTTTCTATGCCTACCCTTAGCTTAACCAAAAAGCAATCCTTTCAGATTTACAAGAATGAAGTATGTAGTTTTTGTGAACAGCACTATACAATGTCAGCATCATTTCGTTAGTCCTGACATTGTAGGTAAGCCCTGTTTTTCTCTGTTTTTCCTACAAAGTGAGGACGTTAACACACAAGAATGATTCAGGCAGTGTCACAACAACCAGTCATCCACCAAAACTGATGAAAAATGACACCCAGATGGCTCGTCTCCCCACACCCCCGATGGCTGACGCTGGAACTCTAAGTTCCTTGACTGTTTCAGATAAACTGTTTCAGATAAACTGTTTATTCCGCAGCCAGAGCAGCCCGGAGTGAATTTGTGGAATCCGGCATTCCATGGAGTCCACAGATAGGTCTCCGTACACACAATCCTGAAGCCTCTGACCCCGCAGCCTCATCGCGGTTATGTCAGTGACACACTGCACTGACAGTTTAAGTACAGGCCGAGGCATGGAGTGTGTCAGGCCCGGCACTAAGGATGACAAAAATGGGAGAATGTTTACCCTTCTGCCTGCTGGCTGTTTAGACAGAAACCCCACCAATCCGCTGCCCACGGACGGAGAGATTTATTCCAGCGTTTTTACGCAGTTCTGAAACGTGTTTGCACAAGCCGTTTTGGTAACAGGATCAAAAGACTGCCATGCGAGAATTTACAGTACGTCCTTAACGGGGGACTTCACTTACACTAGCCAAAGACATTTCCGCCACAGGCTTTGGTAAATCAAGGCTACGGCATGTTTATGAAGCAAATCCTTGCTATATTTAGCTGGTTTCCACATTTCAGGTCAATTAACTTGGCTTAAGTGTTATTCAGTGGCATTCTTTTCATCATTTAACCACAAAACAAATCATAAAGGAAAAACACACAAAGCAAGAAGACAAACAGAGATATCACTCACAAACTCTCAATATTCCTCTGGCCAAAGATGCTTTAAATCCTTAAAAACTCCACTTAGCGGTCAGGAGCGCGTGTGCTCTCTCTGGCTGAATTCACTCTTCCTTTCACACAGATGGCAATGCCGTTTGCTGCGCTACCTGCCACATTCCTCCAGGTGTGGCCGTGAGGACAGGTGAGCCTGGAGTGGAGCCAAGAGCTTCTCCACGCCCTCATACCAAACTGCTGCTGTAACCGTTGCTGCCGAAAAGTTCCTTAATCAATCCTCATTACGTATCGGGTGTGAAGTGCATATCTGAGATATGACCAATTTATGGTTTAAGATTTTCATCAACAAAAGGAGAAATACAGAAAGTGAACAACTGAGGTGTATTTAAAATAATTAGCAGGGCTGTGCCAAGTAGGTTGTAACGTGCAAGAAACTTTCGCCTGCAAGGAGTCTGTTGACATAAAGTCTTTGAATCTAGTTTGTTGACACACAACGGATAAAAGCAGCTCAAACACAATCCGATTAACGTACTGCTAAAAAACAGATCTACGCCAAACACGTTTAAGAACTTTTGTTACCCTCTTTGTGATCACAAGAAAATCTTTTTCCCACCAAAGCTTTTACCATCATTTTGGTGTAGAATGGTCCTCCTGTGTAGGTTCGATTGTGACTCTATAGTGTACTGATAAACATGAACAAACAAGGGCTTAGGGCTGAGAAAAAAAAAGGGAAAATATCTAATTGCAGTTTTTGGACCAATAATGTGACTGCAATTTAACTTAATTCCTATAAAATAAAGTATATTTTCCAAGAATGCCTGAATATCTTCTTGAGGCTTGAACAATATATGTACTGTGCCAAACAGCCAGTTATTTATGGTTGTGTTGGCATGTAAAGCGCACAAAGGTGTTTGACTGCTTCTGACTCGTCTAATCCATCTACAGTCAGTTCACAAGCTCTGTGATATCAGGTTTAATTTCCCCACTCCACTCATTTTTACTGTCAGTTTGTGATATGTGATTTACATTACATTATTGTTTAAGTGTAACTACATACTTGCATAATTAATGACATAGTTACAATACATAGTATAAATCACAAGTAATTAATTAAATAGTTTTTTAAAAATGTAAAGACTGTTTTTCTTCCTACAAAATAAGACTGTACACACAGCAGTAACTTATTAACCAAAATGCAAATGATAAAACATCTATATAAATAAAATCTGCACTTCAGACTAAATTTCCCTGCTTATTTTAATGAGTTACCAGTGAGAAATAATGAATATAAATGACATACTTTTGGTATTTCTGGTGATAACTGTTATGGTCATTGCTAAGGCCATTTCAGGCCATTATTGTAATAATGGTGTATCTGGGACAGGACTTAAAACAGACAAAGCCAGGTCAAGTCAAATGGCCCTGAACAGAATTTCCACCTGCTCTGAACGGTAAAGCAATTTGACGGCAGGTGACAGAGATATAGTTCTCAGATATGGGGTCCAAGCACCTGGTCTGCTTTTCAAACACCCAGTAGTCACTCCAGCTTCGTTTTCTCACTAACCGCCTCTGCTCTCTTGCATCAAAGAGCCGCTGAGGGGAGCCAAGAACAACATGGGCACTGGGCACAGGTGTAGGCCAGTGCTGGCCTCTGCTCAAGCTATCAAAAAGAGGAAGAATGAAAGAGAGAGGGAGAGGGAGGACGAAGAAGAAGGGCCACACAGGCCGAGAGAGTGACACAGAGCCAGCAGCTCCGGAGGGTTGCCAAAAAAGCCCAGGCTGCACTCTGCCAGACAAGTTCAAAAGGCGAAAAGAACAGAGGCCGAGCTACTTCCTCTGGAAATCCCATGACTTTAAAAGCAATAAATCAGCCATGACAACAGTTTTAAACACTTTTAGGCTGTAAAGAAAGAATCTTTCTGTTTAAGTTAGATTGTGGGCTCTATAATGTACTGATAAGTGAGAACAAACAAGGACTATTCATGCACTTCAGCACAGTCTGATATGAATTATGATAAAGGGTAATGATAATTACTCAGCAATGATCAGACACTTTTACTTCATACAGGCCTATTAATGTATTATGGCCACTTCAGGGCCAGGTATGCAATTACTTCCTTGACATGAATAAAGCAATCCAGCTATTTTAATTTCTAGTAGCACAACCTCAACTGTACGCTCTAATTGCCTGGACTGTAACCTGGATTTAGAGAAGTCCGGTACATTCTGAATGGAGCCCGAAGTTGTGTAAATATTTACCCTCCATGCACAAGTTTCCCAGGACCCCCACGCAGACAGTGTTTATTCTAGTAATACAGCAGGAATGTGGCCGAGCGTAGTTCTGCAGCTGGCACTAAGTCAAACGGACCCTAAGTAACATCACCTGACAGTACAGTTCCCTCCTGACCTAATCACTTGGAAACAGTTTGGCTTCTCCATGTTTCTGTGATGCCGACTCCATTTCTTCATCCACAATCAGAAGGTTGTTTTCTCTAACATTGGCTGGATAAAATTTAAGGCTTCAAAGCAGTGATGCAGCGCAACTCCTTCTCTACCAAATTCCATGGATACTGTTATCATGATGACACTGCAGCTGACTGTAAGCACATCACATGTCTGTTTGGTCACTGAAACCACTTCCAAAAATATCCAACCTTACATTACATTCCGCTGACTTTAATGTGGTTTTGCAATGTCTCAGCAGCTGATCGCTGTATGAGTCAACTTATTGAATACAAACAATGCTTTTGTGCACAAGGAAGAACTCAAAGGCCTGTTGTAAACAGCACAATAACAGCGGTTTCATACATTTACTGTAAATCGCACTGCAAGAGATTGTGCAAATAAAATCTAGGCCAAATTCTGCGGCAGGCGGTTATGTTCAAGAAAGCTGCAATTCAGATTATATTATAAGTCTACTGGCGTTAGGTCTATGATACAAGAAACAGACAACATTCTGTTTGGGTCATTCATCAGCACTTTCTTATCAACCCTTAACATAATACTGGAAATCAAAATATACGACTAAAAGGGCATGGTTTGCTTTATTTAGGTCATGTCATCACTAATGACATCTATTTAAAGCTTTCATGTGAACTGTGCACCAATCCACACAGAATTCTACTGGTTGCTGTTTAGACTTGCATCACAGCAGCAGCTACACTCCGAGATGCTGTCAGAACTTTGTGTTTCATGTCTTTAGTCACAAAGACCTTTTGTTTTAAGACACAAACAAAGTGATGAGTTGTGATTTACTTATAGAGAAAGATCCTAGAGTGTAAACATGTCTTTAAACCTGAAATAAGTCACACTTGCACCTAAATCACAACTGTTAGTGTTGACATTAAATATACATTCTTTTGTATACTTACTTTAACTGTCTCTAAAAGTATTTGCTGTATTCCTGCCAAAAGACCAGGATTTGGAAAGAGTCAACGTCCAACTGAGGCGTTGCCATCTTCTAAAGTAAACAACCAATGTCTATTGTCCCAAAAACTTTCCACTCATTCTGCACGTGTAACTCAATGAGGGAGGTTTCAAGAACTCATCCCTCTAGTTCTATTTAACTCATTTTTCACTAGGATTTTCCGCTCCATTGTCCTGTCTCACCCCTTTTGCTTAACTGTAAAGTGTAACGACGCATCTTGCCTGGGGCACCAACGGTAAAATGCCTAATGTTAAGCAGCAGTAGGGGCGCATTCCAGAAGGCTTTGACTTCTGACATAGCAGCATAATTCTGAAACCGGAACGCGAGACAAACGACAGGAAGATGAGTGTGACCTCACAGAGCCTCCGCTGAGGCGGAGAGAAACTTTCTTATAGATGAAACGCCACCCCCACCTTTCACAGGCACTGTTTACATAACAGTGGAGCATCAGTGGAGCCTTCCAAAGGTTTAATGAACTCCAGAGGGCTCTCTTACACATTTAGAATACTTTTATGATTTTTGTAGAGTATAATCACACTGACGATGTTGTTATGGGAGGAGACCTAGAGAGTTATGACAGATGTGTTACAGAGGACGGAGAGAAACTTAGACTTAGTCATGACAAAGAAGAACCACTTTTTGGTCCTTAAATGACCTTTCAGATGTTGGTAGTTTTGAAAAACTCACTTGAAAACACTCAATTGAGAGATTCCTTATGGCACTGCTCCAAAGAACTGTTCTGCCACCCTTAATTTTAAGAATGTACAGTTTGAAAGATAGAAAAAGCAAAAGTGAGTGAAGGAAAGATAATAAACTGAAGTATGGCTTGAGAAAGCAGAAGAAAAAGAGAAAGGAAGAAAAATCTCTCTCATCAAAGTTTAAAATAACAGTGCGAGAGCTGGAGAAGGAAAGAGATGGGGATAGATAGTGAGGAGAGAAGGGGAAACTGAGAAACACATGGCAGGAACAAAGCAGGAAATGCAGCATTCCGATCTGGAAAGGTCTGGCGCTGGGAGCGTGGAGAAAGTGTAAAGCGCAGAATCCCTCGGTGTCCATTACGCCCAGCTCAGCTCAGGGAGATTCTCACACTGCCAGACTGGAAAAGAAGTAGGCCAAGAAAGTTTGACACATCTGCTCTCTCTCCTTCTCTCTTTCTCTCTCTCTCTCCATTTCCATGTTCATTGCTGTATGTCTTCTCCACCATAATCCACCTTCCAGCATTCGCCGTGATTGATTTCAGGGGATTGTGTTCCATTAAACATGCAAAGGACTTGATGGAAAAAGTCTTTGCTGAGAAAGAGCAGAGGACAACATTTGGGGCAGGAATACTTCAGCTAGCACTTGATTTAATACTGTGGCTTCAGTTACTTTGGGGCTGAATCTGCATATTTATATAATACGATGTGCTTCACATTCTTTGGTTGAGGTCAATCTCAAACATACATCAAGAGAGACATACCAATCTGCAAATATTTTTCAGTAAAATAACACAAGTCACTTTAAAGCTCTGAAATGGTGAAAAAAATCAAAGTCAAACTATATGAAATGTAGCTCTATAAAAGAATCTTGGAATAATAAACTTTGTAAACCTGCGCGCGATTATGGTGGAGAGAAAAATCCAGCATGAGTAACCAAATAACTCCCTCTATTTCTCTTCTCCCTTCATTCCCTAACTCCAACAAACTCTCTATAATGTGGTTTTCTCCCCCCACAAGTCCCTGATACCGGCCCAAGTATTCGGAAACACGGCGTTTTCCCCCCTTGCTGCCTCTCAGCCCCCCTCTCCCCCTCCTCCCACCCACTCCCTCCATCCAAAGCCTTAATGGAAAGCATGTGGTGGAGAGATGAGATTGCTGCTTCATCTCTGTCACTGAAGCTGTGCGCCAATTTCTCTCTCTTTCTCTCTTGGTTCAGACCCTTTTCCCTCTTGTGCATTGCCAGAAAAAGAAATCTATGAAAGCAGAATTTATGACTGAAATGACAACTGACACAGTGATGATTGTGTACGACACAGATGCGCAATACAGTCACGGAGAAAAATGCTTCAGAACCCAAAGTGTTTACAGTGGGGCCTTGTTGATCTCAGCTTCATACCTGCACACCCCCACTCCAAGAACTACTCAAAACCACGAACAAGGAAAAGGGCAACTGAAACTGCTTTTGGGTCACTCTGACAATGGGGAAGGTTTGCTGTTTGACAAGATCTAGCCAGTCTTAACTATGAAAAACAGCAGAAAAAAACGTCCTCAGAAACTGGAAGTATCAATAAATTTAATTCCATGATATTTCCAAATATATCACGCTTCTCAAAATTACATTAAAGTATTGAAAATGTTAACCACAAAGAAATGAAAATAGAAACCTGGCATTTCATTTAGATTTTATGTATTTTGAACTGTTCTTTTACAACAATCTGAAGTGCCCAACATATAACATACACTGCAGTTAAGTTTTTGTTATCCATCAATAGTGGTAAGACTATGAAGAAAATAGTCTGAGTGGTGATTTAACTATGACCTGCATGCTGTCCTGTTGTGTACTGAACTGACCCCTCTCTAGTTAAATCAATATGTAGAATATGTGGCTTACCTTATACACTCCGGGTAAGTTAAGCTTAGTCCAAGACCACAGCACACTGACTTCCAGTTTAAAAAAAAAAAGCTATGTAATCCACTGTTAGGCTTAGTTTGTGTCTTGGAATCCACCCCGTAGTGACACATCTCGGCCGAGACGTGATTAATGCTTTAGTGGAGCTACGTGAAAGATGCTGAACCTCGCCCGTGTGATTGTGTCTGAAACACGGTGACACATTCCACCACAGATGCGTCTGTCTGCACTGTCCAGGGTTGAGCGGGTGCGTGCTGAGCCACATGGCTCTTCGGGAGGCATTGGGTTACTCAAGCTCTTGGGCAAGTAGTGAGCACTCTATATACTTCCTTTCCTTTTCACCTTTTTCACCTTTTTCGGGTGATTACACTGTCAGCTAAGGTGCTACGGTCAAAGCGGTCATCCTGGAAAGAATCAGAAAGACTAATCATCTGATTCTGTGGGCCTTAGTGAAGTAGATCTGAGTAATGCATATTTTGGAAGCATGTGGCGTTATGTGTATGCAGGTCTACTTAGAAAGATTCTCATTCAGTCATTCAAACACTTTCAAATGGCCTTGACTCTGGTCTACAGCTCTTCTCCCCTAGAACACAGGCTCATTGTAAAACTTCAATAGCGGGAGTACAGGCTTTTTGGAGTTGCAAAAGCTCAGTGGAAAAAGGCATTCGGGTGATTTCTAGGCTGAGTCAGCAGGCAGAACTTTGGCCTCGCGCAAGAGAGAGAGAGAGGAGGGAGGTAGGGGCAAAGGAAGAGAGATGGAAAGAGAGATGGGGAGAAAAAGAGAGAGAGAGAGAGAGAGAGAGGGAGAGGGAGAGGGAGAGGAGAGAGAGGAGAGAGAGAGAGAGAGAGAGAGAGAGAGAGAGAGAGAGAGAGAGAGAGAGCACTGACATTCCTGCACTGTGAGTCAATGCCGCTAGGCACTTTTCTGGCGGACATTCACTACCTCTACAACTAAACAAAGCCCTAGCTCACTTGGTGCACTGTTCCGAAGACAGGAAGAAGGAAAAGAGCGTCCGGCTGCACCGTGTCCAGATTATAAAGCTGTGGGTTAACTTCTCATTGTGCTTTGAGCATTACTTTAAATGATGTCCATGGCAACCACACTGTTCACAGTTCTTTTGAACTCAAGAACTGACCCATTATTTGATGTATGGACTTGAGTTCTAAAAAACTTTATTTGGTGTAACAGCTTTAGATTATGTAGTTTAACATTTAAAAAGGATCATCGCACTTGCACATCTCACTTAAAGAACCATCCACTGAGTTTTCTCCATGGCACTGAATCCTATTTTTAAGACTAGATGGAAACCTTTTAGAAAATCAAGTCAACAAAGCCCACTCACCACTGAGATTAGGAACTAAACTGATATGAAATGCAGCCATTAAACCCATCATAAAAGCAGCAGCAAGGCTTCACTGCTTGGAGCAGTTAAGAGGGCCCATTACATTCACCTAATAAAGAGAAGCACCCAGGCCTGCTGCACATTCCTCATAACTTAATCTCTTGCTTTGATTTCCAATAACACATGACTGCATTCCTGCCCTATGTAACGGTGCGTATCTGTCTGCTCTGCCTTACACCCCCACCCACCCCGACAGCATTCCTCAGAGAGCATGGTGACATCCGTCAGAAGTAACTCCGCTGATTCCCTCTGCAGCCTGGTTAATTATTTAACAGTAATCCCTTCATTTGAGAAAGAACACTGACAACCTGCCCATTAAACTGCTTATACAGTCTAACTCAGTAACACTGATACAAGCTTAACAATCCATGGGTCAGCCACTGCTCCTATCAGGTACTGTTCTGAGCATCACTGTCAGAAGAGAAGAACCTCTGAGAAATTCATTTAGTGCAGTGCAGTGAGTTGGCTTCCAGATTCATAGCAAGTTCACTGAAAAGCAGCAAATCCACTCAAACCTTTTGTATGGTGCTGGTCACACTAGTAATGGGTTACAGAAGCCCACAGCAGCCTTGAAATGCTGTTAGTGGAATACAAGGAGTTAACACGCTAGCAAAGCAGTCGACTGAAGATGTTCAACCTAGTAACACCAGTATCACATTCATTCATAAGATTTAGGCTGGGATTTGCTGGGACCAC